AGTGCTCTGCCACTGACGTAGAATCCCAAACATCAGCAAGCCCCCAAATTCTGGACACGGAAACCTAAACTCCACGTTCTGAACGTGAAAAACTCTCCACCTTCAAGATGCAGAAATCAACGACTGGAGCAACACGAAAATTGAACAAACTCAACGGGTCCTTATTGCAAGTGCTCCCACATGCGGGAAAATCCCATAAACCCAGTGGATCAGGTCCTGGCTCGTCCGGCACTCTGAGTGAACCTTGGCAGTCGGTGCGACAACAGTGGGTTAAGGCTTTGGGCTTCGGCTGTGGAGATTCCAGACGTTCCTGCTACAAGGCTTTGGGCTTTAGCTTTTCAAGGCTTTGGGGCTGGTCGGACGGGCTCAGGGTCTAGAGCTGAGACTGCCAAATTGAAGACCCTGAGTCAAATGATCTGGGAACCTTCTCGAGCTCCACCAGCGTGGGGACGTAGTCGGTGTCGTTCGGATGCACACATGAGCCTCGGACCCCCACAAAACCGAACGCCCGAAACCGTGTACCTAAACCCCACGCCTCAAAGCTCGAGCCCTGGATAACACTCCAACCTCAAGCCGCACAGCCGAGTGGCTCGCAACAAAGGCTTCAAGGTGCAGCATACTTTGGCTTCCGGGGATCATGCAGATCAGACTAGCCTCAACTACGCTTGCCTGGGGCCTGGTGCAGTGAAACTGGACCAGATATACTACTCATCATTTAAGCTCCTGCACCAGCCTTTAGCCTTGCTTATTACTGGGCCTTCCGAATGTCAGAATCTGGTGCAGCAAATGACCACAGAAAGAACTAGATTTGGGGCGGGCGCCAAAACTCCAGTCACTCCCCATGGGGTCTACAGGGTAGGGCTTGAGCTTCGTCTAAAGAGTTTGAGGGTCCAGATTTTTTGGTGCCTCACATGTTGGGTAGTCTGGAACTCCAAATAGAACCCACATAGCAGTGTCCTCGCCAGAAGAATCCCAATTTAGCGGAACTCTCACCTCGAGTCCTTGCACCCGGGCTCTTGAGCTCTTCAGAGTTTTAGTGGAGAGTCTGGGCCTGAATAAGCCAATCCGCCTTGGCCTCCTGAAACCCTCAATCCCAATCCTGCACCCACTCTGACCTTACCAAGCCAACCCTCAACACGAAGCCCCAGCCTCTGAACTCCTCTATGACCAAAACCCTAAATCATAAGACCCAAACCCAATCCCGAACCCCAAACCCGGTTAACTCTTGACTCGCAAACCAAAGCAAAGCACAACCAACACTTCATAGAACCGAAGAGCCGCGAAGGAATCCTACACTGAAGACCCTGCACTTCCTCTCTGCTCAGGGCGCTGAGGTTGACCCAAGCCGAGTCCAAATCGAGCTGCGTCTGATTCTGCCTATGGCTTCGGAATTAAGGCTTCAGGGCGGCGTGTTCATGGCTTCAGGCTTCGACTTTAGGCCCTCAGGCTCCTGCAAGATAAGTAGTGCCTTGAGCGAAGCATCTTGACCGACTGCTTTGGGGGCTAAGGGTTCACGGTGTTGGGGGGGTGGGTAAGGATTCAAGTTGTCTGCCCAAGAGTCGGTCTGGGTTTACCTGCCTTGTCGATTCGAGTTCAGGACTTACGGGTGTTTGGACTGGGAGACTGAGGGATGAATCTTCAAGCCTGAGCATACCGCACTATGTTCAGACTCAGGCCTTTCAGTGTGTAGGTGATAGTGTGTGCCGGCGTAATCACTTGAACATTCGAGGAGCTTGGAGCTCAGACCCAAGAAGCAAACCAAGCGCCGCGTGCTGGCCTGCGGCCTGCGCCCTTGATCCTAAACATCCAAGCTGGTCCAAACCCTAAGCTTGTGGGAGCTTCCGCCTTGACAAGATGTTCGCCTTCATGTTCTTGTCAATAAGAGCCTGGCCATTTGCAGGGTTTCAAGTGGAAGGCTCAGGCTGAACTGCTTGCGCTCGGGCTTGCTTTTTTGCGCCTAAGGTCGCACAGGATTTAGATCCTCCACTCAAGGTCTCATCGGAACATATCGGAACCATGGCCGCTCTCTGAAACCTTCATCACACGGGAGTTCGCGGCGCTTGGTGGCTTTAGGCAAAGGACGTATCAGGCCTTGTAATTGTTGGAACTGATTTTTGGTACCGGAACAGGGCAGACCTCCCTGAAATCCTAAACCTTGAACCTCGACCCCAAAACCGATTCCCCCACGAAACCCAAGCTTTGGACCCAGAAGGCTCGGATTTGAAGCCCGAAACCCCTGGAAATGAGCCACCCGACCTGGATCTGGTCCAGGAAGCTCGTCCTTAGGAGCCAGCTGCATTGGCTCTTGACCGCAGCAAGAATAAAGGTGCTGTGTGTTCAAAGTTTCGGCTTCCTGTCTGCATGTGTTCTCTTGGGCCTGCCAGCTGTCTCACAGGCCGTTTCCACAGTTACAGGGATCGACTTGTCTCAAGAAGCTACTGTTGGGGCCCAGATGGCCCATAACTGTAAGAAGCTACAACATGCTGCAGTGCGCGCCCCATTGGCGCCCCTGTACCGGAAGGCACTTCCGGTAGTGTTGACATGCCGGGAACACTGGCAGGGGCGATATATTCGGAGCTCAGGGACTTTCAGGGCTGCCAAAGGGCTTATGTCAACTCGCAACCAGTTTGGCTGAAGATTTTTTGGACTGCGTTACACCCCGCGACGCAGAAGCTGCTGCTGCGAAAGCAAAGTTGAAGATTTGTATCTTCGCTTATTTAGAGAGGTACATATAGATATAGATTATCTACGCGCATAGAGACTATCATTCGGAAACATGGATCGCAACATAAAGATTCTAGTCAAGATTTTAAGACATCATTCCGAGTAAGATGTTAGAAGTGCAAGCCGAACAACTAAAGCAGCTGCTACTGGCAAAGTAGCCATTTTCTGAGCAGGGAGTGCCTATGTTGACGAGGAAATGCGTTTATGTTCGAGAGGTCGGCCGGAGTTTTGTGTCGTTGATTGGGGTAACATTGTATGCTGACTCCCCCGGCCCGGCACAAAAGCTGCCTCCCAAAACTTTGATTTGAGAAGTAATTAACAGCCACTCCAACATGAATGTAATTAGGCCCCACCCCCACCCCCGCCTCACGCCCGAACCAGAGAAGCTAGAGCAAAACCTCGAAAGCAGAAAAGCAGAAATTTGCGACCCCCTGAAAAGGCCCTGAAAACATAAAGTGCCCGAAACGACGGAAACTTCGCAAATACCGAGTCGAACAGCTGAAAAGTGAAGAAAATGACAGGGGCGCGTGTGGCTCACGCTCCTACAACATGCCTGTGTGCCTGTACCCACCCTACGGAAGCCGCCGTTAGTTCCCTGCGTCTGTGAAGCACCGCTTGACTGAGATGTGACGCAGTGGGTCTTGTCAACTTCCGAGCACTACATGCACTACACGTTACAAGAAGTTCCCGCTCTTGCGGGAACATTTGACATCGCCTGCATGAGCGAATGCTGTTCCCAGCCCCTTCAGCACATCAACCCGGATCCCCATACCCCTAACCTCCACCGCCTGTCAATCCACCTCTTAGAGGCCTCTGACCATGCGATAACTAGTTCGTAACTCAGCATTTCCTGTAAGACACAAACTCGCAAAAGGAGTTCTCGGGTTCAGGGTCAGAGCGGGAATCTTAATGACAGCCGCATCCTGGAGCCCCAAAAACCAACGCAAAAGAGCTTTTCCAGCTTCAGTAGATTTCTGAACCCTCCCCCGGCCCCCCCCGTTGAGGCCGAGGCAGGTTGGTGGCCCCGGTGCCATCCTTGCGAGCCCTCGCCATGTTCAGCATGGAGGCCTGGAGCAGCCGTCTTAACGCTTTAATAATAGAAAACGACAACCCTACACCCTAGTAGTAAAACCCCATCTGCCTCGATGTTGTTGAGAGTCGCCCTCTCTGGCATCATCAGCTTCATTTGCATCGACATCTGCTCCTGCAGAGCTGCAGCCGCTCAGTTTGAGGACTACTTCGTTTGGGGGGTCTGTAGCAACACGCCGCTACCTCAACGGTACCTTCAGCAGCTCTTGGCTCTGCCTGAAGCTAAAACCTCAAACTGTGTAGCTGAAACCAGGAACCAACTTCTCACGCACTCGATATCCAGGCGGGGGCTTGGGTGATCAGGATAAAGAGCCCCGCCGAAAGGCTGCAGGCGTAGAAGCTTACAGAGGGGCGCTCTCCTCAATGAAAGTCATCTTCGTCCGCCGATAGGACGATGCATCCACATAGCAGGGAAGAAGCGCCAGCACCACAAGCACTGACGGCTGCATTGTCGCCTGTCGGAATGCCGATCAATTTGACTACGCTTTGCGGGCAAGGTTGCCGACCAAAATTGTGAGAGAGCTTCATACCACCCACACACACACACACCTCTAGAGGGAAATCCCACTGCCTAAGTTTTGCATGCTCTTGAAAGGAGAAGTTGTGTCCAAACTTCCCGAAAACTGTTGCAGCGGCGATCACTTGCTACAGCCCTCACCACGTCGACGAGACCAAACCCACCCGATTCAGGGCTTGGTGTCTACGTCGTCGCTCGTTCAGTCTTAATTCGTTCTCCGCCCTGCAGACTGAGGCTGCGGCGAGAGAGGGCGTGCTGTGGCCACGAAACGACCCAGCGCGCAAACTCGTCTGAGCCGAAGATAAGTTAAGTTTCAAGGCATCACGGCTTCGCGACATAGTGATTACCGTTGATCAGACCAAATTACACTGTAAGACCCAAAACCGGGTAGGTCTTTAGCTAAACCGAAAACCGTCAAGCCAAAGCTAATTATCGAAGACTCGTGCAAAATCAAAGAAGAGAAGATAGATAAAAGCCCTTAGAAGCCGGACAAGACTCCACCAGTCACGTGGACATGCAAGCCGGGAATTGACAGCTTCAGGTTGCAGTGCTGGGGTCTGGGCTTGGGCTCTGAGTTCAGGGTTCGGGTTTAGCACTTTTGCCACTTCCGCCAAGTGGTAACACGGTGAGACAGAGATGGTTTGCGCAAGGCACAACATTGCAGAGCTGCTCAAGCAAGGAAACTGCTCTTGGGTGCTCTGCGACCTTGATGTTGCAGTTTCCATCGGTCAAAGCGGTTTCCTGCCAGAGACCAAAGCACTTTCTTGGAGGTCTCTGAACAGATGCTCTAGCCAACACCAAAGACCTGAATCAAAACTCAACCGCACAGACACCACAACCTGTCCAAGCCCTCACAAGCTATTACTGACAACAAAAATAGCACCAGTCAGACAAAAACCAGTGCAATCATGGTGCTACTCAACAACGGTAACGTTGACAAAGCTTGTGATGATGTTGCCCGTTGTTGTTCTAAGCTTATGGCAAGCAGCGACGAGATATCTGCTATACAAGCAGCAGCAACGTAATGTGGATGACAATTGATGATAATGTGATTGTAGACGCAACTACTTATCCTTCGCGCGTGAATGCCCACTCCCGCTATGACAAAGCCTGTTGGAATAATTGTGGCTACCGTTGCTGCCACCATGGCCAGATGATTATGATGATGACAGTCAGGGTCATGATGATGATGACGACCGGAATGATGATGACAACAAGTACTGATGCCGGTGGACTTGCACATTAATCTGTTAGTCTACGTCGTTGGTGGCTGACCCTGCCAGATTGACTGGTATTCGTAGCAACAGTATCGACAGGAGCAGCAGTACTTGTAGAAAACACAAAGTAACTAGCTGACAACCGTGTCCTCATATCAGCAGGCAGTAGCTGTGGTCGTTGCCCTCGTCGTTGTCGTAGTAGTAGCAGCAGTAGCAGCAGTAGCAGTAGCAGTAGCAGTAGCAGTAGCAGTAGCAGTAGCAGTAGCAGTAGCAGTAGTAGTAGTAGTAGTCGTCGTCGTCGTCGAGGGCAGTGGCAGCATTTCCAACAACCACCAGTGTCAGTTATACCATCGGACCATCCGCTGGCAATACCATCATCAAGAAAAATATCTGCCGTCCCGGCCTTCCTGCCGGGCTTCGCTCACGAGCCTTTGGGGTAGCGTTGCTTGTTGCTTCGTCCGGTGAGAAGATGCTACTAACACAGTTGTGCCTGGCGCCTAGTCCATCTAAGCCTACCTCAGTTTATACATGTTCTTATATGTGTATGCAAACATATACACACGCATTTACATAAACATATGCATAGACATATATATATATATATATATACCGGAGTTCGGGTCATGGTGTATGTACCGTGGTTTGGTGGTTCTGGACTCGACCACACAGTCATACAGAGCATCCCCCTAGCCCTGAAGACTGAGTTTAATGAAATCTCAAAACTTTCAACCCATATCCGAACCCAGCGTTCTCGCTCCGGAAGAGCCCCGAGGCTGAGATCATGACAGAATCGCCCGATCCAACCCAGCTATGCCACACAACCATGGTACACATCTTTTCAAAGCTGTCAGGAATCAAAAGCTACGAAAGGCCTGCCAGAAGTTAAGCAACAGAATCAAACAAGGGATGCTGCTCCGAGGAAGTCTGGACATCCCCCGGCTCAGCTGCGTCCAAGGCGCCTCTCCTGGGCTAGCTCCTGGAGCATCAGTTTACACAGAGATATATACAGAATCCGGTGTGTATGTGTGTGTATGTGTATGTTTTTATACATATATATATATATATATACACATGTACATATGTATATATGTGTATGTATATGTATACACAAGAACGAAACATGCAGCAAACTCAACGACCTGCTCCCTGGCTTTGAACTCTGGGGCACGGTATGCGGTGCGGATTCAATTTGTTTTCAGGAGGGGACTTTCGAGTTGTTCACTTCGGAGCCGAAGCCGTCGATGTGATAAAAACAAAACCCCCTAGCACTACCCGCCTTAAGATTTCGGCACTTACCATGAGAGCCTATCGAAACTGAGGCGGGGTCTGCATGCAGCCTGATATAATATGGGGATCTCTCTCTCCCTCTCTTTTGAAAGCCGTATTGACTTCAGCGAAAGAGCCCATAAAGCCCTTGTGCCGAACCCTTACCCCGAAAAAGGTACCTAGTTGAAAGCTTCGCATGCTGACAAACCTGAAGACTCCCCATTTCAAGTTTCACGTGCTCACGTTCATCAGAAACCCACAAAACAATACGAATTAGTCAGGCCTCCAGAACATGCAAACTTGGATGACGTACTGCGGCCCTGAGCCCCCCGTGCGACTATCGCCATGCGGCCAACTGCCTTTCAGATTCTTGCTATGAGCTCAGGCCGCACTTTGCGGCATTGAGCGAAGATGTGTTGCAATGGCAAGACACAAAAAAGCACTCTAAACTCTAAACTCTCTAAAGATGCTGGCAAAGGACCCTGCGACCTCAAGGAGAGGGGCACGCACCTCATCGTATGGGGGCACCCTTTTTGAATCAATCGTTGCTTGGTGTGCGTGGAGGGGGGGGCAAAACTATTGCAAAAGGATCTGACAAGGACCCGAAACGTTTTTCACCTGGCGGCCTACAACGAAAAGTGAATTAGCAAACGACAACTCCCGCAAGCTCCACAGAGCTAGCTTGTGCTTTTGAAGGCCCTCTGATTGAGCTTGGCTCAATAGCACGGGGAGATGAGGAGGGGAGGAGAGGGGCAGCCGCTCGGACCGTGGCGCAGACCTAGTCTTCCGTGTCTGCTCTGGCCCGCAACCCGCGTGGAGTCGATCCCTGATGGCTTCAAAGCAGCTCGCGAAACCTGATAATCTCCTCAGAATAAGGAACCTAAGAAGGAAGGTAAGAACGACGCTCGTGGTGGTCTCAAAAGACACTGCACTGCTGTGGTTCTCCTGCTCCTTTTGCTTCTGCCGCTTCTCGCGCATCTGCGTGAGGACGGAGGAGCCCTGAATCGGAGACTCTGGGCTAAAGGCCTAGGGGCCCAGGGCTTCATGTCAACTACACAGCCTAATCCCATCAAACATCCAACCCGTGCACTCCAGCATAAGAGGCAAAAACCCCGAAACCCCTGAACCCAACGATGCGCTCGGGGCTGGAGTTGTGTTCCCCGTGGTTGCACGATTTAGGTTCAGGAAGTTGCGAGTGACATCTTGAGACCTCAGGCTGGAGGGTTTGAACTTTGCATTTCGGACCTCGACCTCGAGTTCCGATTGGAGGCATTGGGGCCTGGAAGATGGACGGGGCTTAGGGCACCTTTGGAGAGCATAGCAGAACATGACACTGGCATGATTCTTGCAACCATCCGGATTACCGCTTCGTGCAACAAGTTGAAGCAGGAATGTCCGAGAGCCACTAGCAGTCCAACGCCGTGACAGTCATTTAGATTTGGCCACGCATCTTGCAGATGCTGCGCTGCATCAAACTCGAACAAGCACGCGTAACTGATCTGCACATATGCAATTCTGTGCATGCATCCGCGCATAGTTGCATAGCCATACCTGTATCGATTGTTGCTAAGCCACGTGCACCTAACTTGCAACATCAATACATGCATATACAAATACATATACGTGTACATGTACACGTGCGCATACATGCACAGGTCTATATGCATCTACCTCCGCATCTATATATATATATATACATGTACAATTACGGTATACATACATGTGCACATGAACACATGCATGCACATGCACATGCACATGCACGTGCACGTGCACGTGCCCGTGCACATACAAACACACACACACACACACACACACACACACACACACATCCGCATACCCATACGCGTATGCGTACAGACGCACATGCATATACCTATACATACACATACTCAGCGCCTACACATACGAACACATACACAAACACGTAGACATACACATGAGCATACATGTACACATACACATACACATACCGCTACATATATGCATGTACATATAGACATGCATATACATGTACATACAACTGTATATTTCATACATATACATATACATATACATATACATATACATATACATGTGCATATGCATATACATATACATATACATATACATATACATGTACATATACATATACATATATGTATACATGTACACGTAGATGTGCATGCACATATACATATCTGACACCTACATAACCAGTACGTGTACAAATACATAGGCCTCCAACCCATACAATTTTGATGATATTTGTATATAGAGGTGGCCCGAAAGTGAGGGAAATGCCGCAAGAGGCGAACCTGGGAACGCCCGAGATGAATCCAATGCCTAGATAGATAGAACCCTCAAACACACCTTAATGACCCAGATGGGCCAGCAGCGATCATCACCGCCTCAAGCTTTCTGCAACAAAACAGCCTGCCTGCGGCGACTGCTGCCATCGATCGAAGCGACCGGAGTCAGACTCGAGCCTGCGGAACAATTCTTGGAAACTCGAGAATTAGAGCTCTGGGGTCGACCCCCAGTGCTGACGGTACATGCAGAAAGTTGCTGTCACACCGGCTGGAATTGCGAAGGACTACGACGGCAGCTGAGAATGTAGATTCAACAGGGAAGAACCTGCCAAACGAGGTGGTGGGAGAATACGACAACACCGTAACAAATGCCATGCAAAACGCAGATGTTGCTAAGCAGGGTTTAAGACCCCCAACACCTGAAGCCGAAAATCCTAAAGGTTACAAGCCAAAATGCAAGCTCTCCGTGAAGGAGCTACCACTCCTAAAGCCCAGACCTGGGCGGTGCATACTGGGGCTTTCGCTAGCATCCCCCCACCCGCTGCACCGCCCACACCTACCAACCACCCCCTTGCACACAGACACACTCACACACACACACACGCAAACACTCACACTCCCAAATTCCAAGCCGGCTTGCACAGTCGACAAGAAAATGTTGAAGCAACAAAAAAGTGGAGAGGGGGGCATGGCTCCTACTACATGCTTTTGCTTCTGCTCCTGCCGCCACCACCACAACCGCTACAACCAACACCAGCACCATCACCACCATGCACCACGACGACTACTACTACAGTACTACTACTACAGTACTACTACTACTACTACTACTACTACTACTACTACCACTACTACTACTACTACTACTTCTTCTCCGACTACTTCTCCGACTACTTCTACGACTACTACTACTACTACTACTACTACTACTACTACTACTGCTACCACTACCACTACCACCACCACTACTACTACTACTACTACTACTACTACTACTACTACTACTACTACTACTACTACTACTACTACTACTACTACTACTACTACTACTACTACTACTACTACTACTACTACTACTACTACTACTACTACTACTACTACTACTACTACTACTACTACTACTACTACTACTACTATTAAGCTACTACTACTACTACCACCACTACTACTACTACTACTACTACTCCTGCTGCTGCTGCTACTACTACTACTACTACTATTACTACTACTATGACTATGACGACGACTGCTACTCCTACCACTGCTACTCAAACTGCCACTTCCACTAAAACTGCCTCTGCCACTACCACTACCACCACCACTACCACCGCCACTACCCTACTGCTACTGCTACTGCTACTGCAACGCCTACTGCTATTCCTGCTTCTTCCCCCGCTAGTGTTGCTGCCGGTACTGCTCGTACTACTCCTACTCCTACTCCTACTCCTACTCCTACTCCTACTCTTACTCCTACCCCTACTCCTACTCCTACTGCTGCTACTGCTGCTGCTGCTCCTCCTCCTCCTCCTCCTCCCACAACTACTGATTGCTACCGTCGGTATTCCACAGTCCCGGCGGCTCCCCGTCGTTTCAATGACTGCCACAAATCCTATTCTTTTTGTTGCTCCTCCCTTTGGTCGTTTCTCGCCGTTCGTGTGCACTAGCGTCAAGCTTGAGCTTCTTCTTTCTTGATGACTCTTGGGGCCTTCTTCTTGCTTGTTGGTAAGGCTCAGGCTGCTAATGCTACGAAGCAGTCTGCATACTGTTTCGCTCCGCTCTTACATCGGTCTCACCTTATCTTACACGGCAGTGTCTTACTCGTCTTACGAAGGCGAGTACCCCAGGCGTTGTTTTGGCTTGGCTTGGCTTTTCTTCTTTCCAAGGTGAGGCTCGGCTTGCCTTTGCTTCGCTTGGCTGAGTGTCATTTGACTCCGCAGTAACAACCTGGGACTCCGTGAAAGTCGTACTACGTGTCCGATTAAGGCCCTGGGATTCTATTGAGGCGTTGGCAAAACCTTTTCTTACGAGAATCCAAGTTTCTATGATACTCCTTCATGACACTCCTCGAATCCAAAAACTTGGCTTCTCTTCACACTTGAAGCAGCCTATGAAAAAAAAACAAAGGTCCATGGAGAAAAGATCAGGAAGCAGATGCTCTCACTCAGGCTGGAGGGTGCGAGAATGCTGAGGCCCTTCACGTTTTCCGGCTTCCCGAGAAAACCTGAAAATATAAACGTTTATGGATTCGGATTCAGGACTCCAACACTCAACCCTAGATCTGCAGACCCCAAAGCCCTAAACCTGCCTCAGCTGCTTGACATGCTGCCGCTGCTCCTTCTGCAGCTCCTTAGATGCTGGGAGCTGGGGGTAGTTGTCCTTCATCATCCGAGGATTCTTGGTTCCAGAGCTCGTAGTTTCGGTGTAAATGCTGCCATGGCTATTGTTACCAGTGCTGCTTTCGAAGAAGGATAGAGCACGAACCTGCAGTCGCCATCAGAAGGCACAACAGCATCACAAGCACTGGAACAACCGTCCAGCCGTCATTCAGGGCTTGGGGGTATCATTCTGACGCCACTTGGGCCATTGGACTTACTGACCGAAGTAACCACCGATTCCTTCAGACAAAATATGGAAAAGAAGCTCCTCAAACATATTGGGTGCCGGAGGAAGACTCGAGCTTCTTCCAGCGGAAACCTGAATCTCGAACCCCCACCCCGGTACAAAACCCTTAATCCCTACAACTCGGCGGCGCCTGGATCACCTCAAACATCTTCCGGTGCTTGCCCTGCACTTCCCGGGAAATGACACTCACGGCCTCCCTCCTGAGATGGACAAGCAAGACATGAGCTTGGGGATAAGATGGCATAAGGGTTTAGGGTCGAAAAAGTATCATAATGCTGCTAGGATAGGCGAGTGAACGCCTTCAAAACCGAAGCCATGGATCTTCTGCAGGTTTGGCTTCAAGGTACCACACATACATACACATATACATACATACAACATATGCACATACGCTCATACCTTTATACATCACATACTGATATGCCATGTAAACACACACGACAGATACAAGAAATGCACTATAGACGATCGATACGGATATTCATCATGCCTCCAGAATCAAACCCCATCCATGTCTCACTTCGGGTCAAGGTTTGCAAACTGGGGAGGGGAAGGGCGGAGGAGAACCCTGGGCCACAAAGATCTCCTTAGCAATCTAAATATCTTTCGAGCTTTCGTAGGAGAGAACCTAGCGAGAGAACACACGATCAGGCAGCAACCTCGCCACAGAATCTGTCACCAACTACTGGTCGACTCTACGGATCAATGTGTTGTGAAACATGCATTCAGCGTCCAGACTGTCAGTTGCAGCCGAGAGAGAAAAAGGTGTCCAAGAAACAGATCTCACACCCATGCCAGTGTGTGCCTCGGCATATTGATACATACAGTCGTAAACAAACCCGTCCGCATGTATACACACATATGTATACACACACACGCATGCACACATGTATGCAAACCTACATGCACAGGAGACAAAAAACACATATATGCGCGCATACATCCGTCCATCCGTCCATCCATCCATCCATCCATCCTTCCATCCTTCCATCCTTCCACCCCTCCATCCTTCCATCCTTCCGTCCGTCCATATCCTTCCATGTCCTTCCGTATCCTTCCATATCCTTCCATGCTTCCATGCTTCCATCCTTCCATCCTTCCTTCCATCCTTCCATCCTTCCATCCTGCCATCCTTCCATGCTTCCGTCCATCCATCTATACATACATACACTCCTACATACATACATACATTCCTACATACATGCGTACATACGTCTCTACACATGTACATATATGCATACACACACATACATACATACATACATACATACATACATACATACATACATACATCTATAATGACTTACCTATATGCATACATACATACATACATACATATATATATATATATATATCATACATCCATGCATGCATGCACGCATGCATGCATACACCTCTCCACCTATTCCATTTCTACATGTGTGTGTGTGTGTGTGTGCGTGTGTGCGTGCGCATACTTGCTTACCCTTCTGTATTCCTCTTCGGGCATGCACGCACTGCATAAGCGTCTAGCACCTACGAGCTTCATTCCCAATCCGTAGCCCTGAACTGGTTGATCCTAGGCCTTGTCTCTTGAACCCGCAGCTACACACTTCAACCCAGCAACCCATACCCGAAAAGCTTCAACCTCGTGTGCTGAACCCAAACTGAAGTCCTGCCTTTTCCTGGCTGTGCATTCCGGGCTGGGCACTTTTTCATCAACTCCTGTAACTGTGGGGCTTCGGTTTTGGCCTTCAACAGGGGAGCTGTGACTTGCCCTTTCGGCGGGGTGGTGCCAAATTAGAGAGGCGTAGCACCATGGTTGTTGCGACGAGCGTCTGCGTGCTGAACAAGTGCTGCTGAGACTGCGCAGTCTCATGCGACTGCTGCCACTGCCGGAATCCTTGCAGACAGGGAACGCCGAATCAGACACGAAGCTGCACGTGCACAGCGTCCTGGACAAATACCCCGAAGTCACCCGAGAATAGCTCGGCAGACCCGAAACGACAGCATAAAAGTGATCGCAACCACAAAGCAACAGCAATGAGACCAATGAAACCCAGTAATCATAGTAGTCATCCTGGCCGTCGTCGTCATCACCATCCTCATCATCTGGGAAAAGTTTTGAAACAATTTCGCTGAGGGCGAGGCTTTCCTGCTCGGCACGGCTGGCCTGCTGCAGCTGCCCTGCAGTCAAGACAATTCTATCTCAAGTCTAAAGTGCCGATACTTATACATTTTACAGACACACATGCGTGCGTGCATGCATATACATCTACATTTCTACATTTACATCTACAGATACAAAAACATGTACATTTATATATACATAGAAATATACCTGTACATATACATATACATATTCGTGTGTTTAGGCACATGTAGTTACACACATACATATCTATTTACGTATGTGTGCATATCTCTCTCTCCTTGTTTGTTTGCTTATGTGACCTTGCATCGACATTTCGCATGTATGTCCCTATGTGCTTGTTTTTTGGGATTTATGTACTCACGGCGGATCAAGGGCTTAGTTGGGAGACAAATTATGGCTTCACGAAACAGTGGTGAAACGATAATCATGTACTTCGAAGAACTGAAACTCCCTACAGCGGCCCTTTCTGCACTTCCAACCGAAGCCCTGAACATCCGGTCCAACCGATGAAACCAGTTCAGGAGCTCTCAAGAAAAAAACGAAGCGCACGCCTGACTCCCGCTGCGCCAGAATTTCTCTGGCGCGCTCACGGAGACGGGTCCTTTGGGGAGGCTGCGGGCTGGAGGTTTGGCGCCATGAGGTGGCTAGGTTCAGGGCGCAAAGTGTTTGGGGTGAACAGTTCGGGATTTACTCCAGTGGCATTTCAGGTTTGGGGAAGGAAATTTAGGATTCATCCTTCAAAGTTGGATGGCCTAAATGGCGCATCTCATCATGAGTTGCCCCACTGTTCAGGGCACAGCTTACGAAAAAACGCTCTCGTAGTTGGCCTGTAGATAAACCTCTTCTCCTGTAAACCAGTGTCGGGTGCTTCGGGTCAGATGGTCAGATGGTGCTTCTTAGAACGCAGGTGCTGCGTTATATATCGAACCCCACTATTGCAGGTCATCGTAAAGGTCCCCGATTTCATCAAAGTCCGGACCCGACATTCGGAAGTGAAGACTGCAAGCTCTAATCACAACGGATGCCCAGCACCGAACGATTCTCTTGCTTCCTGCAACACCCTAGCAAGCTTTTTGAAACATACTTCATCAACCTCCAAGTCTAAATTCTGTACACAGCATCCGAGTTCTCAAGTTGAGTCTCACGGGGTTGCCGCGGATGCCAGCTCGAAAGAAACCAGAAGCGTTGATCAAACTAAGGCTTCCGGATCTCTCGGGTCAGGACCTTTGATGTACGATCTAGGGTCAGGAAGGGTGTTTGGAATGACGAGGGTTTTGGGTTCTCTTTGATAGGCGTCGTTGTGCTTGGAACTTCACAACTGGAAGACTGAGTCTTGTGTTTCACATTTGGCGCGGGGAGAAACAAGGGTGGGGGTTTGGGTTTCATAGTTCGGGACTCAAGATTAAGCTTGAGGTCTCAGGCATGCTTCTCCCGTTGACATGGACCCTGCACGGCGACAGAAGATTGCAAACTTTCACCGGCCCCGTGAGCTGGTGCTGCCAAGCTGCGCTTGAGAAACTCCTCCTGAAAGTGTGCGGGGACAGGCTTAGGGCCTAAGTTGAACCTCAAGCTCAAAACAAACCGAATTCAGAAACTCTCAAGTCCGAAAGCCTGAATCTTCCTCTTCAAGAACCCGGGCCCCAATTGCCCTTGCTTGAAATTCTTGGGAGTGGCTTTCAGGCTTCGGGGTGCCCCTCCGTGGTGAACCCAGCTGTTTCCTTGGCGGCTGAATGTAGACAAGACAACCATCAACACACCTCCCCACGCACAAAGACAGACATAGAAACTCTCCTAAGGCTCTATAAACCCTTCCTGTGTGAACCTGGCGAGAAACACAGACAAAGGATAGAAACTGTGAACATGGAAAACGAACCAAATCCGTGCCTTCCACTCGAAGCAGAGCAACTTCGGCATCTTCCTGCTTCTTCTGCGCCTGAACTTTGCAAATCCACGGTGCAGAAAAGGAAGACTGAAAGACTCAATCCAACAGCGCAATCCCCAAACTTGTCCATGATTCAAGAACTTCGGTAAGGTTACAGTCAAGCCCTCAACACTCGAGACCTTCACGGGTGAAGGGTTGAGCCATGTTGTATAGAGGACTTGCGGCGAATGATAGGAATATTTTACCGGAGCCGGGCGGGGCAATAAGATCTCGTCGTCCCGAAGCCGCAAACTCTCCAGCTCTGCTGATCTCCTAGATGATGCCCCAGCCCCGAATATCCGAAAACCTGACCCACCCGGTAGGAGCAAAAAGGTATAAGATGACACTGAGTGCAAAAGAATCTCCAGACCCGAAACCCCGACAAGCCACAAGACCAAAAGCACACCACTGAGGTTGCTGAGGATCTACAAGTCCAAGTCCGGGCTTATGGTTTTGATGTTTTGATGTTAGGGTTTCATCTGGACATGCTTCGGGTTTAGACTTCATGGCATCGGATCTTGACTTGAGGCCTGGAGTCCCTCGGATGCTTCCGCGGCGAGATCGCTGCCCAGAGTCTCAAAGAGCCCCTCGCTTGCAATCCGCGACCTTCCTCGATACACTGCATCAACTTGCCCCAGTCGCAGGTGCAGGACGTCTGGCTGGACCTCTGACTGAGTGCCTTCACCTTTGTAATATTGACAAAAACCCGAAAGCCTAGCCAGCGCGAGTTCACCACTCGGAAGCTGACCAGCAAACTCCCCAGCGGGTTCAGCGGGTTTGGGATTGTAGGGTTCAGTGTGAATCCAAACCCCCTACCCAGTGCTAAAGCCCCAAATCCGCAATCAAGAAAGTGCCTCCAGCTTGGCCAAATGCCGGTCAGCCCGGTCCTCCTGCTCTACTCTCTTTCGGCAAGCATGGAGTGGATGCATTTCAAGGTGTACAGTGTACAGTTTAAGCTTCAGCTTCAAACTTGAGCCTCTTTGGTTAAGCCTTCAGGCTGTCCTGCACTCCTCAGCGTTTCGGAGTCCTTCCACGAAACAACGTGGCCCCCTCTGCGTAGCCTCTAAGACTCTAAGAGCCCTGATATGCTGCTGAAGTGCTTGCACATTCAAGGGCTTTGTAGTTCGGGAACACCTAGCTGCCATAGACGGCGACGACACTTTGAACCCTCAACCCCAAAGCCCAACCAATGCAAAAAGCCTTTGACCCCTGAACTGACAGAAAGACCATGAAAAGTCTTAAACTTGCTGTGCTCCCTACGTCCCATACCCAAACCTTCAAACCCCAACAAGCCTGAACCCAGGCTTTTGCTTTTTTGCTTGCACACTCCAGGACTTGAAGCCGATAAACGAGAGGGAAAAACCCTTGGAACCCTTAACCACTCCAGGGTCGAAACCTCAAACTTAAAGCCCTACACCCCGAACGCTAAACCCACCGCCCCAAAGTTCGCAGCCCAACGCCCAGAACGCAAAACTCGAAACTGCAAAGCCCTAAGTCCTAATCTCCGAAACTGTCAATCCAAATCTTTCTGCGCAATGCAACTCAAATTAAGATACCTAACAGAGAACCAGAGTTGCAAACACCGTCGCCTCCTTATGGCACTTAAGCAGTTGCGTACCTTAAGAAGCAGATGAACTTGATACTTCCATCGGGAGGGCACCTTCGCCTTCCGGAGCTTCAGCCACTGGGCCTGGCGGAGCCTCAAACTGAGGGTCATCTTTTGCGGCTGCTGGTGACATTTGTGCCGGTAGCGGTGAATCTAAGTACGATGCTTATCACTCTCGTCAGGTTTTGGTAAGGGGCAGACCAACGAAGCAATCCCAAAGCCCAAACCCCGTGGGTATTGCACCCGAAGTCTGAAAGCAGAAGCCCACAACCCGAAAGCCAAACCCAAATCTCAGAAGCTGGACAAGTGAAACGACTCCGAGATAGGCCTAGATGGCCGAGAGCTCAAGACTAGCACAGAGGCCTGGCCTCTGGTTGGAGTAGGGTTTTGAGAATATTGTTGAAGAACTGATCAGGCACGTCTGGGGGATACCATTGACTTTTGTTCTGGCCCCTGCTTTAAGCTTCCCACAACAACACTAGTCTTTGTGCTTTACGCCTTAGGTTTTCAGCGTTAGTTTGGGTAAATGGTCAAAGTGTCAACCACGTTTGTACCTGTTAGTCCCCATGATCACAGCCCAGGCAAAGAGACTCCACCGACACAGCGGCCTCTTAAAAACCCTACCAGTGCCTGGAACCAACTATTGAAGTTCTATGGAACTTTGGCGGGGGATGGTTTCGGTGTGCCTTTCTGCATATCCCGCGCTGTGGAGCTCATCCTCCCGTCTCGTCTCCTGCACCGAAGGCCAGTCTGCTTTTCAATTACCTACAGCCGTCTCTGCTTACAAGGCGGCTCTATGCTTCGGAAATTTCAAGCCCTGGAGCTTGGGGCTTAGGAGATTTGGCGCTTCAGAGCTTAAGCCCACCAGCCGTCTAAATCATCTCCCGCTACCCGACCCCCCCCAAAAAAAAAAAAAAATCTCTTAAAGCTTGACTTAATTGAAGTCTCTGAAACTCCCTGCAAGTTCCTAAAGCATGAACAGCTAAGGATTTCACAATGTCCTCGAGGACCTTCGCCACTTTCGCCTCAAGGCCTTCCTGACCTTTGCGCAGGAGGTGAGCAGGAGTCGAGCAGAAGGCTTTACAAAGCAAATTTGGGGGCAGAAGTAGAAGCGGCCTGCAAAAACTACTCGTAGCATGATGTGGTGGCAGGGTAGCACACGCAACAGACCACGCAGAACTCACGACTTGATGACGGCACTTCCTATCTACGCGGCTTTTACTTTCTCGAGTTCCGGGGCTCGAGGGCCTGAATTTGGCGAGTCGAGACACCAGACCTGACACGAAAGAAAGCTTGCTACCAAGGCATTCCTTTGAGGACGCAGCTCCCAGAAAGGGTCAGAAGAGAGGTGCCTTGGGCGTCACCTCCCATGCAGGCAGACGGAGGCAAGGTCATGAGACGTGAGCGTGTAGGGTAGTACTTGTAGTCTTCGTATGATGGCGATGCTACTGATGCTGGCGCTGGCGTTAAAACCGAAGCCAGAACCCGCGGCCATCACTGCAAGCTTGAGATTGCACACTCGCAACATTCCAACACACACCGTCCGGCTTAGATTGAACTACTGTCTTTCTGTGGACCTCATCCACAGCTCGGCTTGCTGCTGGCGCTGCTGCTGCTGATCCTCCTCCTAGTCCTCGTCCTCCTTCGTCTCGTTCTCATCATCACGATCATCAACAACCACAACAAACCTCTGTAGCATCGCTGCTGCAGAATGAAAGATCGCAAACACGTAGTCTGCATCACGGCATCATTCCGAACGTTGCGCCACGAAGCCTACATCCTGAACCCTACACCCTAAGCAACAAACCAAAACATCGAACGCTGTGAGTCCACCATCGAGCTGTCTCTGAGCCTGGGTGGCCTTTCGCCTTTTGCAGCGCCATGAAAGCCTGCTGGCTTGAGGCTGGGAGTTGGCTGATCTGGAACTTGGGACAGCTAAGCCCCAAGCCTTGGCCTTCAGGCCTTAGCTGCCTTGGCCCTTCAGCGTAGCACTCAACCCAGACTCCCTTGTTGAAGCCCGACGCCCCAACCCCAGCTGGCCTCATAGTCTTTCTGCCACTGCTCCTCAGATGCCTGGAGGACGGGTCGCTCTGCTTATGAGTCCAAGTGTCCCCCAGCTCCAAGCCGGGCAGGGCACCTAACCCACAAGTCGAAGGGCCCCGTTTGCCGTTGCCCATGAGACAACCGTACCCTTACACCAGCGTCCTCACGCCCCGAAGCGGCATCTGTTCTTCCTGTAGTGATGATGATGATGCTGCTGCCCATGACGCTGACGCTGGCGATGGCGGTGAAATTTGCGGTGAGTGTGATGGTGATGGTGATGATGCTGATCATGGTGACGATGCCGATGATGATGATGATGACCCCCTTAAACCGGAAGTCCCAAGCACGCAGACAGGCTTCCTTCGGTAGACTCGCCGGGACGCTTGGGAAGGCCTCCTGCCCAAACGCAACCGCTATCTGGGGGGTCCAGGGATCAGGGCTTTCAGGATTCGAGCTGTAAAGGGGGTTTTGAATTTGGAGCTTTGCGGGCTTAGGGTGTCAGGGCGAGGGCCTTGGCGTTCGTGGGCTGGGCTCACTCGCATGGCCTAGCAGAAGTTGACTAGTTCTTGGTTTCCGGGGGCGGCAGCTCAGGGTTCCAACCAATGGATGTACTGACCATGAGTATTACTGCGATCATGAGCACTGCCACTGCAAAGTCTTACGGTTATCTCGAAAATTCCTAATAATTACTACCCTTACTGTACTGGTAACATGTTATCTAATGTCATAACGATTGCCGTTCCTTTTATTTCTACTAGTCCTTTGCGACTTCTTGGGACATCTTCGGTCCTCGACGGGAGGTGCGGCCCTGGGCACGGGAACTTGTCTGCGAAGGTTTGCTTGGGCTACGGGATTTGGAGTCTGGGTATGCGGAGTGGGATTGTGGCTTTACGGATGGCACGTAGCTTAGAGTTTCGGATTGCTCGCCTGAGGTTTGAGACATTTGGATTTTGCGGTTTTAGAGCGCCAAGTGTTGGGTTTGAGCCTGCAGCTAGTGACAAGGAGCGATGAGGAGCTGACGACGACCAAGAAAGAGTTGTCCCGTTCATAATACTCTCTAAACCCTAAACCCGTTTATAATACCCTAAGCGCCATCCCGTGCTGGACGATCTTGGCATCGGTCGAGGCTCTGATGCCCAGATTCGGACGACTACCATTGCGGAAGTCTGTGTAACACAGGGGCCTAGACTATTACCCATACTAGTTTGAGGGCTCTTTCCTGCAATTGTGGCTTCATGTCCCCAAAACCCTGTTCTGATTCCTAAGGCCCCTATAGTAAGTCGTAATAGTTTTCATTTACACTTAAGATGCCATGTATCGTACACAGGCCTCCAAAAGGCTCTTCTGAGTATCCAGAACACCCTACTACCGGGTTTGGGTTGCAGGTCTGAGGTAGTTCAAGGATCTATCCGGATTTGCGGGCTCAGGGGTGTGTGGTGTTGTACTGAGGCCTCATAGAAAGTTTCGTAGTCGTAAGTGGCGTACTTCAAAAGCTGTGTAGGGTTTTGGGTGTTGAAACTTGTAAAGATTCCGAGTTATTTTGTGGGTATATCGTAGCTAGCGGAGAACCATCCTCCAGCTTCCGTTATGATTGCTACAGAAGCACCTGTCCATGGAGAGCGTTTAGCAGTTTGAAACGCCCGTATATTGCCACGTAATCGGCTATTCAGTAAGGCTCATGGCCATTTGGGTTGAGGTTTTACATCAACGTCCCCATTCACTCAGACATTCATGGAGGACGAGCAGGGGGCACCGCAAGTTTTAAATCCTGTACCCCACTCCCGAACTCTTGATCAGCATGCAGCACGACACCTGGAAACGGCACTCCAGTCAGCGATCCAGGTCCTGAAGGCGAAACCCTTAACCCCCTGCGAGCGAAATAGCGATCTGGTGCCGAGGGGCGGGAGAACCTGATGGTGTTGTGGGCGCAGCTGGCGATTGAACTTCCTTGTGCTGGTACAAACGTAGAGACAGGAATAGACAGATAGATAGACAGGTCAAGTAAAATCAAACTTGCTGGCAAGGGTGGGCTACACTTCGAGCCTGAGTTTAGGGCCTGGCGCGGCCATTGCTGCCCTACCGATTTCGTTGTGCTTGCCAGCATTCATTGACATGAAAAATTAGGGCGGGCCTTTTTTCAGCCTTCAGTTTGCGGGAAGCTCAGATTTTCTGGCTCAAACACTGGAAGTTGCCTTCATGATGCCAGCACGAAGAGAACCGATGCAAATGCTTTACCGAGGCGGGGTCGACTTTAATCTCGCCGTCAGGACCGAAACTCGCGGTGTGGAAGCTAGGTATGACTTCTTGCATCTGTTTCCACATGCTGTCGACCGTGCCACTGTGCGGCAGTTGCAAGGCATCTCCTATTGAAGGACATATTGCTGACTTCCTTATCAAACAAATGGTCACCTGGAAAACAGATGCGAAAGCAGTTACGCGAACTTGCTTGTCAACAGCCCGCACTCCCTGATAACAAGCACATAAAATCGCCTGGCAGCCAGCATGGCCTTAGATAAGGTACAAGCAATGCGTAAACATGCTTGCTAAGATCCCTCCCCCACACCCCCCCAACGAGTTAGAAGTTGAAGCCCAGGATGTGATTTGGACAGGGTCATCAGGGCTTGTTTGGGTAAGTCAACTGTGGCCGCATCTAGGTTTAGGGTGTGGGGCTTCAGAAAACCCGGGTTCAGGATGCAATTCCACCTTACAATGCGCTTCGCAAGCAACGTGAAGAGGTGTCCAACAGACAGAAAGCCTCACAAAGGTTCTGCACACTAAGGTCTAGGCCCTGGCTCAGCTTTAAGCTCTGCGAGAGGGTCCGGCGCGAGTCCGGCTTCGGGAGCGATGATCAATGTAAGGAAAGCAATACAACGCCCCATAAAAGTTTCCAAGCCCTTATACCGTATTTTATCTATCTGTAGGTATGCAGAGATAGAACATGAGTTATGCGTGGTTTACTCATGACTAACACAACTTAAACATTCATCATACAACTATACCAGGGCCCCGGACCCTGAACCTCATAGCGTCCCTGGCATCAATCTGGGCCGGTGGCTGTGCCAAAGCCGGTGCTCGCTTTTGCCAGGCAGCGAATTTGGCCTGCCAACGCTCAAGATCGATTCGGCGCGCTGGGGTACGTGCCTTCAATATTCGTCAAGATTCACAAGCCCATAGACTCACGAGGCTTCCGGGGTTTGGAAGTTGGAAGCTCTATGGCTTGCATGGGTTATGTGTCTAGGTTTTTGGGATGCAGTGTGACTGTGCTTCTGAAGGGGACCAAACTCGTAGCCGCAGCTCGTAGTCCTGAAAAGTAAGTCAGTAAAGCATACTAGTACACGAAGATCAAGCTACTACTTCCGATCTTCAGGATGCATCGCAGAAACTCGGAACACCTAAAGCCGTATCGCAAGGCCCCGAAACCACGATCCTTATCCCGAAACCCAAAAAAAACTTTGAACCCTGAAACACCTGAACCGCCAGAACTCTCAGCCCAAAGATTTGTTGAAATGTCCCACAAGGCCACAACGACGAAGAGCCTCCGATACCCTGCGCCTTTCTGCAGCTAGCGCCTGGCACGTTCAGCTAGCAAGGCTTTGCTGCGAGGGCAGTTCTTCTTGAAGATTGGGGCTTTTGCGTTTGGGCTTGTCGGTGTCCAAGCTTGTGAGCACGCGGCTTTCTGGGGCATATGGGTCTATGGCCTGACGGCTGTGTGCCCACTGGCTTTATAGGTTTAAGTTATAAGGTTGCGCCATGTAGGTTTGCTAAAGATTGCCTTGGTTTTGGACCCCCGAGCGGAGGGAAAGCTTCGAAGGACATACCATGTCGGCCTCTTAAACTCTTCTTAAACCCTTCAACTATATAGAAGGTTTAAGGCTTCCTGGCTTCCGAGTTTCGCGGTTCAGTCCGTTGCGAGTGAGTTTAGATCTTGGGATTGAGAACTTGCTTCGAGTGGGTTTTAGCGGCTGAACTCGCCACGCTCAACCCACGACATGAAGAACTAGCCTCCCTAGACCAAGCCCACATGAAAAGATTCGAGTCCGCCCTGTCTAACCCTTCGAACCGCTGAACGCTTGAGCCAAAATGCAGAACCCTACCCAGACGCTGATATCCCTGAATCAACTCACCCATGTTGACAAACCCAGCTCTTCTTTGGATGGCAGGCCTCAATTGAAAGGAGGCCCGATGATTCCGTTTGCGGACTGATGCTATTGGCTCATACGTCTCATTGCAAGATGATTACCATCATGTTTCGGAATATGCGGCTTGCCAGCATTGCGACTATCACCGCCGCAAACTCCGGAAGGCCTGCTTTTCGGGGGCGCTGATCGACCTGTAGTTCCGCTCCGCTCCGCATTTCGCGGGGTTCGTGGGCTCGTGGGAGGATGGGGGCTTACAGCTTAACACGCGAGCTGTTGTTTTTAGCAACCCTCCATGTGGGCTGGGGATGTGCGTCTGGCAGTGATGACAGGGCGACTCAAGTGTCGGAATCCGCGAGAGGTTTGCGAGGCTCTCCCATCTATATATATATATATATACACACACAAACATCACTAAGTTAGGAACACGGAACATGGGCTGTCTGCTCAGGGTGCAGACGCTTCGGCATTTGGGGACGATACTTCTAGACTCCCTGAACCGCAATTCCGCAACCCGATCCGAAAGAGCTTTCAACCCGGAATCGGTATCCCACGACCGCAATCTCCAGGCCGGCCGTGAGCCGTGAAGCCTGAACCACAACCACCAAGAAAACTGCTATGACTCGAAACGAGCGTGCCCCTCTTCAAACCAGATGATGCAAGCCAAACACCCAAACTCCAAACTGATGAATCCCGGCGAGTCGCGACACTTCCTCTGCACAGGCATCCCCGAGCAAAAGGAAGCCCTGGGCCGATGGCATCCCAGGGTCTCTAGGGCATGTGCGTATGCATAGCACCACCATGACCACCACCACTAAAGGTAACACGCGCCTTAACGACCATGGGGTTTTGGCACGGTCCGTGGGTAAGATTTGAAAAAGGCAGCAAACGTGGGTTGCGTGCACGTTTTGGACCAAAAGGTTTGTTTCGAATGCTTGATTCCAAAACGTGTTTTACCAGGGTTTTGTGTTTTTCACGTATTTCTTCTTGTGCTTGGCGTCTGCCAACCGACTAAGATTCGTCGAGAACTGAGTATTGAAACGGAACAAAGCGTGATTATGATGGTGATGATGATGCACATGTTGATGATGTGAAAGTACTGTTCTTGCCAGGGTTCTGTACTCTGTGTGTCGAAGCACTATGCAGATGATGATGGCCTGCATCTTGATGATGTTCATGGGGATGGTGGCGAAGAGGACCCCCCCCCAAACAGAAAAGCCTCAAAACCGCAAAACCCTACCAAAACCTCATGGTCACTAAGGCGCGCGTTAGCCACCACCACCACTACCACCACCACGAGCACCACTACTTCTACCACTGCTGCTACTGCCTAGGTAAGAGCCAAATCGAATCTCGAGATTGTGGTTGCTGGGTCTTGCAACTTTCAACACCCGTGCTCTGCTGATCTCTAGTGTGAAGATGAGCTGAAAGTATGGACCCATCTATCTCAAGTCTTAACACGGCTCGGGGGGTAAGCAAGGCCCAGACGAATTCAAGTCTTGACACTAATCCGCCAAGGCCTCCAGGCCAGCACCCTACGTGCTGCACGCACTCTGCAACCCAGGGGCAAGAGCTGCCGCAAGCAACCGCTGCAGCGACCACTTCATTCCCTGAAAGCACAGTAGCAACTCTGGGGCTTGAGGTGTGAAGCATTGGGAGATTGGAGAGGATTTCAGGCCTGAAGGCTTGAGCTTCACAGTCTGAAGGTTTCGGTCTCTGGCATTGGCATAATTCTTTCTGCAGCTCCAGTGCAGAGGAAGTTCTGGGCTGAAAAAAGCTGAGGTCTTGCGACTTGGTGACATCTTGACCAAGTCATACGGTGACGGTGCCAGTACTAGTAGTAGTAGTAGTAGTCGTCGTCGTCGTCGTCGTCGTCGTCGTGGTCGTCGTCGTACTGATACTACCAATAGTACTCTTACTAGCCGTACTAATAGTAATAATAGTACTAGCAGTACTAATTGTACGAGTCGCACCAATGCTACTAGTGGTACTAATCGTACTAATAGTGCCAATAGTACTCATAGTACACGTAGAAGTAGAAGCGTAGTAGACGTAGAGCCGTAGTAGCCGGAGTAGCAGCAGTAGCAGTAGTTGCAGTAGTAGCGCCCAGCAGTGCTTGCAGCAGTTGCAGTAACACTAACAGTAACAGCAACAGTAACAGCACGAGTGGCAGCAGTAGTAGCAGGTAGCAGCAGGAGGATGAGGAATAGTAGCAGCTGCAGCAGCAGCAGCAGCAGCGGCGGCGGCGGGAGTGGTCGTCGTCGCAGTAGCAGCAGGAATAACAGCGGTAAGAGTAGTGGGAGTTGTTGTAGTTGTTGCTGCTGTCGTTGTTGTTGTAGGTGTTGTAGGTCCTTGCAGGGCCAGTATCCGGTGTTGTGTTGCTGTTGCTTTCAGCAGAAAGCAAAGGACAAGCAACAAGTGGAGAAATTGATCAAAAAGATTCCGTGGTGCCTCATCTGCGGAGCGAGGCACACCCCCGCCCGCTGCAATCACGAAGTGCCAAACGGCCACGGCATTGGAGCTTAGTGTTTCGAAGCTGTTCGGGTTAAAGTTCGGCTTTGATGTTTGCGGTGTCGGGCTGTGAACTGTGCAAAGAATTCAGAGGTTCAATCTTAGGGCAATGGGATCAAATCTTGCAGTTGAAAGAAAGCCCGAACGGGCATTTTGTGTCCAAAATAGTTGGGCTTCACAGCGGACCTGAACCTCCGATGTAAACCTGCTCACAGGTAATTGCATGGTCATGCTCTGTTGTTTCTTGTTGTGTTTGTCGCGTCCACTGCTGCTGCTGCTCCTGCAGCAGCAACCGGCATTGTCACCAGGATCGTCGATGGTATCGTGCGCCGTCGTGGAGGCAGTGGTGGGGGTGGCATTGGTTGTGGCGGTGGCGGCGGGGGCGGTAGTGCTGGTGGCGACGGCACTGGCGGTGGTGGGGGTCGTAGTGGCGTACTGAGGGCTGTGGTCGTAGCGGTCATGGTCGCGGTCGTGGTTGTTGGCCGTAGTGGTGCGATGGCCTTCGTTCAACTCGGATCGTCGGTGTAATCCAAGAAAGTGTTGCTTTGCCATCGTTCGATTCATCGGCTTGGGGTTTGATGACCATCTGCCTAACAGCTGTGCGATGCAAGAGCTTCGGATGTCGGGCTCAGAGGCTTCGAGTGCTCATGCCCCAAAGCCCTACAATGCCCTGAAAGCATTCGGACATTTTCCCTCCGGCCGGCAAGAGGTCCCGAAGCTCAGCAGCTGGCGCTCGTCTTCCCCTCAGCTTGGGAAGAGCCGGGACGACGTGAGCAGCAAAGACTGTTGAGGGGCTGGGATGGGGTTTCGGCAGCCAGTCCCATTGCCGGGTGGATCCCTATATGAACGGCCTGATTCTTTCGAACCAAGGCCGTGAAATGGGTCAAACACTAAGCTTGCCCACACGACATGGGAGACACCAAACTCCTACAGTCCCTCAACCTGGAGGAAATCTTAAGTCCCAAATCCTCGAACCCCAAACTCTGAACACCTAAAACCTCGGCCCATACCCCAACAGCCCAAAAAAAAGAACCCCTGAGGCACATGAGGCGAGGAGCCGGTAGATCAGTCCTCCTCGTCGTCGCCACCGCCACCGCCGCCCTTGGACGCCATCATCTTGCCTTGGAGTCGCCAATAGCGTCGTAGCTTGAAGTTACAGTCTAGAGCGTTTGGAGGGTTTCGAAATTGTTGGGCGTGTTGTGATTTGTTCTTTGAGGTTGCACAACGGGCCTTTGCCTTCGAAGCTCTCAACGCAACTTCAACTTCCTCAGCGAATGCCTCAGGTCGATGTGGCAGGAACCTTCTCAAGGACTCCGCTCACGTTAAAGTCGCCAAAGCGGCGGCGCACGCGCCCCGGGCGGCCGCCTCCGAAAGGCGAGGTCAGAGCGAAGTCGATGTGCTTCTCGCTGTCGAGGCGCCTCGGCTAGAGAGCTCCCGCAGCCTCCCGCAGGCCTGAAGCCATCACACTCCACGGTCAACGGTTCACTTCAAAACGGTACTGTATGAGTGTGGGCTTCAGGATTCAAGCTGCAGGCTCCGAGGCAGAGCTTTTGGTCCTAAGGTCAAGATTTAAGGTGGGTCTGCGAGGATCTCAGGATTTCGTTGCCCGACCTCAACACCCACTCCGGCTATCTGAGCTCTCAAAGCCTCATGCTCCTGAGCCTCCTGAGCTACTACACTACACTGAAAAAACCGCTGAAGCATCGCATGCCGGTCGCTGCCCAGACACACCAGGAAGGAGGGAATGTCGCAGATCTGCTTCCCCACACCTAACCGCGACTGCCCAAATCATTAGAATCAGGCCGTGCGGCAGACTGCACTTTCACTACCTGTACAAGTCAAGAGACATGTTGTGGAGAAAAATATTTTTGTTCATCGTTTGGCTCTCACTCGAACCAAAACTTGTTCCTACCTCCCACCCCCCCCGCACCCCCCCCACGCCAGATAAGCGCGGCAACAGTTTTGATAGCCATACATCCTGATGATGTTGATGAGAGATATTCTCGAAATTTGGAAAGATTTGTCTGTGATCTGTTTGAGATATTCCCTGCTCTTGAAATAGACCCGGAAGTGTGCCTGATATCCCACCTTGTCCCTGAAATAGTTCCTGTTAACCTCGTCAGTTCCACGTAAACTCATACAGTTATAGAACAGTCTCGCATTTTGTGAAGAAGCTCGAGCTCCTGTCTGTAAGAGTTAGTAGTTACAAAAAGCTAGGTGTGATCGTCCAAAGGTACGCAGGACGCAAGCATAGCACTCCTTTCGGACTCGAAGGAACTATGATTTCACGACAGCTGCACGATCAACAAACATGGCAACCCTGACAGCCCCTTCTGCCGGAAAGGATCAGGAATAGTAGTGACACAGACAGAAGTCAGAAGATGAAGGAGTGTCATCGCATTTTCAGAAGAGCACCAACACAAGCAGCAAGGGACAGCCCAGAAAGAGTCCAGGCGCGGATGTGGCGTTGGCGGATCAAAGTGCGGGCGTGGTGGATGGACTTGGCAAGGCCAAGCTTGAAGACCTCGAAGCTGAAGGTCGAAGGCTCATTTCACTGCTTCCCAGCTGAAGGTCTCGGGCGGCTTTCGGCCCTCAAGCCCTAAAGAGCAAGTAGAAACCCACCACCGGACCGAAGGATCCCCCTCCTTGAATCAAAGACCGGACCGCTCCAAAGGCTGATGGCTGCGGCCTTGGTCTGCAGACGCCTCTCCATGATCTTGGCCGTGGTCAGGCCCAGCACGAAGTCGAGCTTCCTCAGAGCGGGAGAGGCGTCTGGAGGCTCGAGGAGGCTTTGAGGTGCCGGGCCAGAGTTCTTAAGCATAAGCACCCCATCATGAACCGTCCCGTCAAGTGGTAGTTACAAGCGTCTTCTCGGATTCCAGGAGCAAGCCAAGGCGAACCATGCGCCTCGTCGAGGGACATTCTCAGCAGCTTGTCGCAGTCATCCGGCCCATAGACATTACGATGCTTTTCGTACACTACTGCCGGTACGTCTTACAGCATTGCATCTGAATTGGTCTGTTTACATGCCTCAAGAGACTCCGACATGGGCAGTTGTAGTCACAAAAGCGAATCTCACTGAGCTCGTAAACATAGCTGTGGATTTAGGGCTGAGGGCTCTTAGGGCAGCTTCAGACAGCCCACAGCTTGGTTACCAGGATCTTCAAAACTCCCTCTCGCGCCCATCTGCTCTGCAAAGCCAAGCCGGAGGCCTCAGGAGGGCCTCTCCCTGGAAAATCCTGGTCTCGCTCCTCTCCTCCTGGGCCAAGGGCTCCGCTTGAAAACCAATACTACTACTCAACATTTTTACGTCATCGCAACTGTCACATGCAATGCTTACAATAACAACGTGCATAACTACGAGAGAGTAGAGAGTAGCAGGTGTCATGAGGATGTCGAATTTGGGCTTTGCATCACTTCGGTGCAGCCTTGAACGATATTGCAGGTTTACAATTTCGCATCTGTGCCCTTCCATGCCATGACCTCACAAAGACGCCAGCTCAGGCTCCATTTTCAGCTCCAGGGCTCAGGAAATCCAAAAGAGTCTTTTTGACTCTCAGATCATCAATACCACGAGATGCATCGTAGGCTTTGAGGCCTAACAAACTTCCTTCCCGAATTACTGAGTAGCAGCATCGAAGATCCAGCTCCGGGCTCAGCACCCGTAGAGTGGTCACATGAACAATGTAAGAACTGCAGGGTGTGCACAAGCTTTCACTGACTCCGGACCCTCCCGAATCCGTAGCACCAAATCTTGAACCCTCTCCAATCCCTGAAGTCTCAGCCCCCCCTCCCCCTTCAAACCACATCGTAAACTCCAATCCCCTCCCCCCCTCCTGCGTCAGCAGTGTGCGCGCGGCCGTGCGGATCTTGGCCAGGGCATATTGCACGCGCCACACCTGCGGCTAGCTGGTTGAAGGTTTAGGTGTAAGGGTTAGGGGCCAAAAGGCCATGTTCTTGTTTTTTCTATTATTCTGAACGTAAGTTCCTGCTATTTTGAGTTCGTACAATGCAGTATGTTTCTCGGGTGTCTGGTAGCGTGCCGTTGTAAGTGTTACTCTTTTTGTTGCTGCTGTGGTTCCAGGCTCAACCTCAGAACCAGAGCCCCCCAACCTGTGCCAACCTGTAGACCTGAAGGCTCCAAGAGTTTGGAGGATCTGACGATGGGTGGAGTGGATGAGGTGATTAGGGTCTGGTGTGGGGTTTATGCCAGCCTTTTCTTGAGATGCTCAACTTCGTCGCCAAAGCTTGGGGAAGTCCCCGGCCCTCCAGTCCCCAAGCAAGCCGCGACTTCGGGGACCGTAATCCTCTCCCAATCTAATGGCCTTACGGCAACTTGCAGTACGTACTGACGCTGTGCTGACATGGTTCTCCATGCACGCACCATGTGCAAACATGGTATATCACTTCTCGAGCTTCAAGCTCCTCGCGAGAGTTTCAGATGCACGCCGTGCAAGCATGATGAATCCTCAAACACTCAAGCCAAAGGACAGCGTCGCTGTTCTGAGCCCTGAATCATTCAGGAATCGAGACATAACTTTCGAGAATCTAGAACACCAAATCCTACGTCCGAAGTTTTACACACCACAGCTGTAACGGATTAAACGGAAGTCCACGAAGCAATGCAAGGCCACGCCTCACGTTTGTTCTTGAGGCCGTACTCACCAATGATTTTCATCTCCTTGGTGTGCCAAGGGGATGATCAAGGGAAGCCTGGTTTTGGGTGTAGACGCAGCCGGGAACGACGGTCTGCCAGTGGAATTCGAGACTACACGCGATGGTACCAAAGGCAGCCATTAATTACGATGAAATATCAGAACATCACGCCGCAGTAACGCATGGCACGATGCAGCCGGGTATGTACGGAGCACATTATCTTGTATCATATCTGAGTATGCAATAACGAAACCAAGCATGACACGATGTAGCAAAGTGCAACCTGCTGCGCTCTGCAGCACTGCAATGAAACGACATGACATCAAACGGAACTCTAAAACCACTAAGTGGGACAACTTAAAATCAACGAAAGTTGTTTGAGGCAAGGGAGATAGAGCGTAAGAAACGATACATGACCAAAGATGCATCGCAAAAACCATAACATATGATATGGTCCGGCATGCCTTTTCCTGAAAAGCACCATGCAACATGAAAAATTGAATAGCTCGATTAGCGCCTTGGCACCATTATATTTAGTTTAAAGTACCATTTAGGAAACTAGAGGGACAATCAACCAGTCAGGGATATGTTTACGAATTGTTAGGATCTCTCTAGAGTCGGGCTCAGGGTTCTTGTTCCTTCTCATCTCTTACTCTACTAAGTCGCATGAGCAAGCAGCTACCACTGTACCCAGAACGAGCCCTTGATTCTGATCCAAAGCAACCCATACAAAGAAAGACCTGTAAAGCTTATGAACAGCAAAAACACAAACCGGAACCGGAGGTAGCCTAGTCGCTCCATCGAGACGCTCCTTCTCGAAGGGTCTCTTCGGCTTTCTGAAAGTCTTCCTGACAGCTTAGTTCTTAAGACATTTGGGGCTGCTACCTGTAGGGCTTCAAAGCTTGAGCGTTCAAACTGTTTGGTCTTTGCCTAGAGGGCTTAGGCAGGATTGTCGAGCTCCGAAGCCTCCCCCAAGTACTTGTTGCAGGAAAGCTTCCCATAGTTCTGGTAGCTCTTCTTGCCCATGATCTGCGAAACCCGGAGGGCGAAAGGGTATCCTTCGCTAGTCCTGCCGGCCTGTAGCCGCTTGAGCCCCAAGTCAGAAAGCCGGAGGCGAAGGATCCAAGGCCCAAGGCTCAAAAAGGACTCGCCGAAAGATGAAGGCCTTTAGGGTTTAGGTCTTTAGGTGTCCTACCATGTAGGGCCGCTACCCTTAAGGGATTCAGCTCTCGTCACCTTCGAAGCGACATGCATCACACAGGGACCTGAGCTTCATCGCGGACTCTCTTTTGGCACACGAAGCTCGTGTGACTCCTTCCTCTGCCCGCCAAAAAAAGGCGCAGAACGGGCCGGCAGAACAGGTCTCAGGAGCTACCTACCTATCTTCTTATCATCCCGGCACCGAACGTCATGCCGCCTGAGAATGGCGACGGCGAGTTCATCACGAAGGCCGGGGCCGCCTTTTTCGCGGTGGTAGTGGTCGTCGTCGTTGTCGTGACTGCGGATGCGGGGACATAGGGACAGGTCACCGTCGAAGGATACGTCGGGTTGAACGCCTCGGCCATGCAACACCTTGGCCAGAGGGCTGCAGTTCGACTTGGTTCCAGATCACTCCTTCTAGGCCCTCACCATGCACAAGGCATGTCAGTGCAAATTGAAATTAAAATCCTCATCTGGCGCTTCTGGTGTGGCAAGCTGAGCTTTCAAGGCCAACCTTTCGTACTGTGAGGGCTGCGCATTATCATTCAAGCAATGGCCTGGGTAGGACTCAAAGTCACTCTCCAGCCTGAATACCAGCGACCTTGCCTTAGACCATGATTGCCAAAGACCCCATCAAACCGTACAAGTGCCTGAAGCTGAGGGCCCTGCGAGGAGGCACAGCTCGCCGCGGGCGCATCAACAGGCATGCCAGTGTACCACGTGCTCGAGAACACTGCAGATCCGGGCTGCAAGTAGACCTGCTTTTCTTGGGGGTGAAATCACAAGTGATGGTGGCTCCTCAATGAAGCAAAGAAAACAAGACCAATCGCGAAGCACACAGCTCTCACATGAAGCCTGGAAGCCCGAAACCGTTAAGACCAGGCCCGGAACGCTCAAAAATCCCCCAACCTGTGAACCCTCTCAGGCACCTCCTGGCAGGATCTTGCTGCTGGAGGGTCACCGTGGTATGTCAACTCAACAGGCTCCGTCGTGTGCCTCTTGGCCTGTGCTGCGGGCAGTAGGGTTTAGGAGCTTAGGGGTTACATAGGCTTTGGGCTTCGGATTAAGGGGCTTAGGGTATAGGGCTCAGGGTTAAGGACGCTTGGGCGCTTCGGGGTTTCGGGGTTTGAGGTCTACAGCTCGTGTCGGGGTGGGTTCCAACCCACTTAGTAGGCCGCCCACCTTGCACGCATCGATGGCTCCTTCTAGCTCGCTCTCTGCGACGCGCAGAGCGTTGATGAGACACTCAATCCTGCTTGAAATGCGTGGAAAAAAGACTTTACCGTCGCAGTGCAAAAGCTGATCTCACAACTGATTCTTCGGGGATTTGGGTTTTTGGGGCTGGTCACTGCATCGAATGACAACGTACCGTGTGCAAGAACAACAACTACTGCACGGATATCTACTGCTCCATTCCGGTGGTCACATCAACTGTGTGATGCTGCGGTGGTTGGCGACCTGACTCCTCGACTCCGGACCCAAGCGCCCAATTCCCATGTCAAAAACCATGCCCGTCACACCGCATGCTTACGCCCATCTGCATGCAGTCGATGCAGATCGAGTCCTTTTGACGGCCCTCCACTCAGATTTCGCAGCCACTTCACTCTCCTTTGCCAGGGAGACGACGTTCCCGTAGACGTCCTGCCACCCCAATAAGCATCAAGGTTGAGGCTTCAAGGCTATGCGCTTTCGGCTCCCATCGCAAACCCTAAGTTAACCCTGCACACACTGTCTGAAGTCCAAAATCCAGACACCAAATGAAGCTCAAGACTCTGAAACATCAGAACTCCGGAATCTGGGTTTGGGCTTGACACACTTCCACACTAGGCGAGCCGCGGCTTGGAGTTTCGAGTTAGGCGCTCTGGGGCGAAAGGGGAGGGAAGTTGGGCGTGCACGTTTGGGATTTAGGGTGTAGGTCCAGGTCCCGGGGGCTGAAGTTGCGGATTTGCGAGTGAATCGAAACCTTGCGGTTTAGGCCAAGACTCTGCAGTCGAGACAAACCTGTACACTAGCTAGCGTATCCTCCCGCCACCTCCCTCTACACCTTGGGGGAGTACGTAGCAAGCCTAGCTTAAGCTAGCTGGCTTCACGCAGTAGCACGGACAACACGAACTTCTCTCTTTTTAGCGTTGTGGCGAAGTCCCGCGTTAGCCCGGAGAAGAACTCTAGCCTTCGGCTAGCTAATCTCCAGGGTGGGTTGGGTGGGCACTCGAAATTTGCCCCCCAATAGCTGGGGGCCTTTCAGCACAATGGCCACGGAGTAGCACTGCTTCACCGGCCATGTGCAGACACTCTAGCAAACATACAAGCTTCGTTCTGTTTAGCTTCAGAGGAAAACCCCTTCGACGTTTTCTAGCGAAACACCTTCGATGTTTCCCAAAGGGATACTAGCGCTAGCATACACTGTCGTACCTCGTCCCTCGGCACGAGTGCGTACACTAGCTAGCGTATCCTCCCGCCACCTCCCTCTACACCTCCGGGGAGTACGTAGCAAGCCTAGCTTAAGCTAGCTGGCTTCACGCAGTAGCACGGACAACACGAACTTCTCTCTTTTTAGCGTTGTGGCGAAGTCCCGCGTTAGCCCGGAGAAGAACTCTAGCCTTTTGCTAGCTAATCTCCTTGCGCAGCCGTAGGGCTACCAGGGACCTAGCTTACGGGCCTTCTTAGCGAACCTCGGAGCCTTCGGCTCTCCGGTCCTTTTCCTCACTCCTAGCTCTTGGAAGTAGCTAGCCGAGTGTTCGAGGAGACGGCCCAGCACGCGCCACTCTAGCTTCTCCCCCGCCAGGTTCACCCTGAAGTCCGGGGAGAAACTAGCGAAGTTCTCGTTCGTGAGATCGTCCGCTAGCTGGTTCAGATCCCTGCGGATCCACTGTAGCTGAAGCTCACAGTTCTTAGCGGAGAGTTCCTCTGCTAGCTCCATCAACACCAAGGTCGATGGGAACTTCGTCGTCATAGCCTTCTTCAGTAGCGCTTCGTTGGACTGGTTGTCAGTGTAGCCCCGGATGGCCACCTTGGAGGTCTTCTTGGCATCCCCTTCCGGGACCCAGAGCCTCACACCAACCAGAGTAGCCAGTAGCTCCAACGCGGCTATGACCTTGTTCGGGTCTCCTTTAGCGAAGGCCCAGGGGGCCCATTCCTTCTTCACCTCTAGCGAGAACCAGGGACCGTGGCAGCCGTCCACTAGCTCGAGGAAGCCCCCAATCCAGGCACGTCCATTCTCGGCTTTAGCGTCGGTGTAGAAGGAGAGCGGTGCCGCCCCGTCCAATAGCGAGGCCGGCTTCTGGAGACGGCCCCCCGCTTCCAGGCGGTCTGCTAGCCAGCCACAGAGGACGCGAATCATCGTGGGTAGCGTGAGGAGCCCCAGCTTCCCCTGAACGGCCGAAGACCAGGCGTGTAGCGGTCCCAGGAAGGGGCGCTCCCAGTCTAGCGCCATGGAAGCGAACCCCAGGCGCCCTAGCCCTTGTGCGAAGGGCCGGGCCTCACACTTCCCATCTCGGACTAGCTTCCGTAGCCATTCCACTAGCCAGTCGGTTCTCTTCTGAGACAGGCCTAGCCTCCAGGTGGAGTACTCGGTTTCCATGCCTAGCCACTCCACCCGAAATCCCCCCCTCGTCTTGGCCCACTTGAAGGGGTACCCAAGACTAGCGAGGAAGAGATAGCTTAGCGGGATCCCCATGCGTCCTCTAGCCCCTCGGCCCAAGGACTCGAGGTCGTCGGCATAGAGAAGCATGTCTAGCGGGAACGATGGCCCTAGCAGGTGGTAGGTGAGTCGAAGCCCACACGCCGCTATGCGGGTCCACCAGTAGCTCGCACATGATAGCCCGAAGGTCCCCACCAGATTAACGTAAACCGTCTGGCTGTCGGGGTCCCCCGGTGTAGCTTCCTCGGTGTCGATCTGACACCCTAGGTAGCCATGCTCTCCTTCGGCATGTTTGTAGCGTCGGTGAGCTTTAGCGATGTCGCCCACCACGGAGAAGGCCACCTCGTTAGCGTCGATGTGCTCCCGAAGTAGCTGCTTCTTCTCCCTAGCTCCTGGGGCCCGGATCTTGTCCCTGCACTTAATGCGGTGGTTGACCCGGACCCCGTGGGTAGCATCGTGGATCATCCTCTTCTTTCCACTAGCTTCGTCCTCGACGATGACAGCTAGCGCGGCGATGGCTCGATGCTCGCCATAGCGGGCTTTGAACTCGCCTAGCGTCATCTTGACCATGAGGCCCTCCGCCACGTCCTCTTCGAACTTCTCCCTAGCGAACTCACGGTACTCCTCCACCGAGGAGTAGTTCGGGACCCAGGCTAGCGCCGCCTCCCAAGGGGCGTTCTCCAAGGGCCACTTTAGCTGTTCCTCGAAGACGTGGGAGTGCGTGGTAGCGGGTCTCTCACCCCCACCGGTAGCCCCTCCTCGGCCTGGAGGAGGAAGTCCCTGTCGGGATCGCCGGCCGCGGTCAGTAGCGCCCGGATGAGGCGGAGGTATAGCGGCTGCCCCGGGGCCACCTTTAGCAGCTCCGGGTCTCCCAGGTCATTAGCTTCCAGCCACTCTTTCCAGATCAAGCGTAGCTGCTCCTGGAGATCTTCGGAGCTAGCTAGGGCACAGCCCGTGGCCCCCCCGGCAGCCATGCGGAAGGCTTCCTTCTCTAGCTCCGCTTCCGAACCTATCTTAGCGAGGATCACCTCCATCATTTTCTCCCGTAGCCAGTCCCAGTTGGGACCTTCGGCGTAGCTGCGGGTAGCGTGGGGCCAGCGTCCTGGGGAGCAGAGGCCCCCACCATCATGGTAGCTCTTGTTGCCACCTAGCTGTTGGCAGGTCCTTGGTGGCCCTGAACCCCCTAGCACTCGCGGACCCTCCGGCTCACAGCGGGAAGGTCTCGGGTAGCGGGCACTCCGGCCTAGCGCCACCCCCCTCCCCCTGGGCAGCGGTAGCAGGGTGCTGGCAGGAGTCCAGAATCAGGGTAGCCAGCCACTGGCACATCCTAGCGGGCCACTTCTCGGAACCTGAGGTCTTGAAGGGGCCCTTAGCGGGGCGCTTGAACATGCGGCCCCAGGTAGCAGCAGAAGGCAGCGGTCCTGTGTAGCAGCCCTTTTTGTCATAGCACGGCAGGCCTTCGTGTACGAAGTCGGGCATAGCAGAAGAGCATTTTAGCAGCAGCCGCGTCGGCTTAGCGTATGGCGTACCAAAACTAGCCTGGTGGAAGGCCACGGTCCGTAGCCCCTTTTGCAGAAGGTCGGCTAGCGGCGGCCACTGCCACATAGAAGCCGGCCGTGTCCCTTGATGCGGGCCCTTAGCGAGGGCCCCAAGGTCCTCGTAGCTGCACCGTCGGCCACGAGGGTAGCGACCGCAAAGCTGAAATCCGCAAAAATGTTGCCCAGGATAGCGCGGTCTCGCTCTGCAGGTGTTAGCGTTTCCAGACCTCGGGGAAACTCGTAGCTGCGCACCGGGCGGGGCCCTTGAAAGTTAGCCCAAGGCGCTCTGGAGAAGCTAGCGCACGGCGGGGAGAGCACCACCGCGTCGAACTCCTTGCTAGCGATCCGGTCCAGGTAGCTTTGCCGAATCTTGGGCTGACTGAGGTCGTATTTAGCGTGCCGTAGCAGGTCGACACACTCGACCCTCACGTCTTTGTCGAACTCTGCTGCTAGCTGGTGCAAACACTGCGCCACATCTAGCCGGCGCGAGGTACCCGAGAAGAGGTAGAGCACCCGTAGCGGCTTTGTGTGCGTAGCGGCCGCCAGTGGGGCTGGCGTAGCTTCCCCCCCCGGGGGGGTCACAGGCACTGAGGGCGCAGCCGCCGTAGCGGGTCAGTTGGAGGGCTTATCCTCCTTAGCGGTCTCCGTTTGCTTGGTGGGGCACTTCGTAGCTGGGTGCTTGCCGAAGCATAGCGAGCAAACGTGCTCGAAATGGCACTTGTTGCCATTCTTGCATCCCTTGGCATTGTAGCGGAAGCAGATGGGCTTCCCCTGCGGGGTGCGATCGGCACCCAGGCGCTTCTTAGCTTTGCCCCCCTTGGGGGGGGCATCTTTGCCTTTGCCCTTCCCCTTGGGGGTCTTAGCAGGCCGCTCCTCCGTCCAGGTCCAGGGCTGCGGCCGCTTAGCATGGAGGGCTAGCGGTGTAGTGAAGTGCCTCTCCTTCACGCTAGCGTCCTTGTAGGCAAGGACTAGCGCAGCGCCGAAGGAATAGCCGGCGTGGCCATGACCTTGTACGCGTGCTTCCTGATAGCGTGCTCGTAGCTGAGCACCAAGGTCCACGGGGGCACTAGCGACCCCGAGTCGGCACTGGACCGGAGACCATAGCAATAGTCTCCGAGAAGATAGTCTTTGTAGCGCTCGAAGAGGGCCATAGTGACATCCTGTAGCTCCTCCCCGGTTGGGGTGCCTTAGCTGCATCATGATTAGCGTGTTCTGGAGCACCGTGAGCCGCAGCCGTAGCTGCTCCGGCCCAGAAGGCATGGGGGCCCTAGCTCCCCCCTTCTTCATGGATAGCGTGCCATTGCCATTCCAGACGGGCAGTAGCGTGTCGGGGTCCCACTCGTCCCGGCTAATGACCTCGGTTAGCGGCTCGGCCCGGAACTCGCCAGATTCGAGCTCGCCTAGCTTCTTCTCAAGGTACTCTTTAGCGGGGGTTTGCTTGTCCTCCAGGTCTCCGAACTTAGCGGTGAAGGCCTGGCGCATGGCCATATAGTCCGTAGCGGGGATGGGCTTTGCCCAGTCCCGGACCTCGCTTGTAGCCTCCGCCTCCGCTTGCCGCTCGGAGCGGGAGGTAGCGGTCCTCCATGCGATGGTGACCCCCGCGGCCTGAGCGCGGCTAGCGAGCGAGGTGGACGGCTCAATTGCGAAGCTGTCCTTTAGCATCTTCTTGAGGTCCGCCTCATCTGTTGCCGAGGCTGCAAATTTAGCGACGGTATCAATACCGTTGGAAAAGAGCTCGGATTGGATAGCATCCGAGACTTTATGTTGCACTAGCAGGAATCGAAGCTCGCTGCTTCCGAGGGCTAGCTTCTTCGCCAGAGCCTCTGCCATGGTAGCAGGCACGACGGGCCCTACGCCACCTTAGGGAAAAACTTCAAGGGAAAAATTCCTGCTAGCACATTGGGGGAAAGCTCCTAGCGTGAGAGTGTGCGAGGGAGTGCCAGTCGATAGCTTTCGCTAAAAGGGGGTCGCTGCAGCAAAGAGCGGCACTAGCAGCCCCACCGACCCCGGCCCCTCCCTCCCCAAAACTCTCGACACTCTCTCGCTCTAGCCCTCCCTTCTTTCTGGCTGCCGACATGTGTGTAGCATGACTGTAGCGTGCACACACTGGCAACTGTAGCGAGGGACGGCCTGAACTTTTGCTGCAGCTAGCGGTCGGCAGCAGAGGGCGCTGCAAGAGTAGCCGCATGCAAAGCAAAAGTAGCGGGTGCAAGTAGCGAGGCCGGGGCCTGTAGCGAGGCAGGGGCTGCCCGTCTTAGCGGCCGCCCCAGTCCTCCCCGCGGCTCCACTGCTTGCACCCATCACAACAGTGAGTAGCGTGGTCGTCGCACTTAAACCACATCCGCCTGTTACAGGCTCTTAGCGAACAGACCTCGCAGGTCGTAGCGCACCTGAAAATACAGGCGTTAGCGTCCCAGTGGCCTAGGGAGTAGCGGCAGCGTCCAGGCTGGTACTGCGTATAGCAGCTTGGTAGCAGCATGGCCAGCAACTCGCTAGCGCGCTCCCCCTGGGGCGTGTTAGCGGGAGGATGGGTGTAGCGACACATAAGTGCCACGTCTTCCCTCCCTAGCGAGTAGAGGTGCTCTCCATGGTGGATAGCGCTCTTCAGTAGCGTGCCATCGGCACCCTTGCCGTAGCGGGGGTTAGGCCCCTTGCCTTTCCCCTTCTCATGGCGCTGGTCCCAGGAGCCTAGCGGCCACAGATCGCGGTCAATAGCGGACCACGAGAGCTCGAGGTACCAGTAGCCCTCCCCCTTGGGGAGACTGTTAGCGTGGGCCCCCGGGGGGGGTCTGGCTCGTCCCTTTAGCGCCACGCTCACTGGCGTGCCCTTAGCGAAGCGGACGTTAGCGGGCATGCCCCCCACCTGCTGGATAGCGCGGTCCTGCTGGAGCTCGCGGCGTAGCAACTCCAGGTAGCGGTCGGGATCCTCGAATAGCGTGCCCCACGTGTAGTCGAACACATTGATTGTAGCGGGCGGCTGGCCCTTGCCCTCGGCCGGCTTGCCCTTAGCGCCCTTGCCTCGGCCCCGGCTCGGGCTGGTAGCGCGAGGGGGCGAGGGGCTAGCGGCCCTAATCTCCATGAACCTCTTAGCGGCCGACTCTGCCGGCGTAGGGTCCATGTTAGCCGGTGCCGTGGTGTCGGCGGCAGTAGCGGCAGCGGTGGCGTCTGTGGTAGCGGCCTCCTCTGCGGCCTGCAGGGAGGCTTTGCTAGCGGCCACCGCCTGCTGGTACTCCAGCTCGGCGGCCTGCTCCTCCTTAGCGAGCCGCTCCGCGGCCTCCTTCCGCTTTTGCTCTAGCGCGGCCGCTGCGACCCTCTGGTCGTGCTCGGCCTTTTTCTCTAGCGCCAGCTTAGCGGCTGCGGCCTCCGCGTCCTTGCGGGCCTTGGCCTTCGCAGCGCTAGCGGCCGCATTGGCAGCGGCGAGCGTGAGGCCCGCGGACATAGCTTCGTCCAAGCTAGCGATGTCCTCCTGGGACAGGTCGGCCCAGCTAGTAGCGGATAGAACTCGCCGCTCCATCAGGTTAGCGGGGCTCTGCTGGCGTAGCCCGGCCCCTATCCACTTCCGTGGCGGGGACTCTTTGTCTAGCGTCTCGATCGCCTCTTGGGACATAGCGATCAGCTCCTGTAGCAGAGGCTTGTCGAGGTAGCGTGGCAGACCCTCGGCGCACTCCAACGGCCTAAACCGTAGCGCCTTCCGCAGACCGCGGAGGGTCTCCGGGAGGTAGTCTCCACTAGCGGGCTGCTCTGCCGTAGCTGGGCCACCTGGCGGCCCTGCGCCCTTGGGCGTTGTAGCGCTGGCATCCTTGCCTTTTCCTCCCATAGCGGCGCCCAAGGCACGGATCAGGTGAAACGGCTAAAGAAAATCTAGCTACCCCAAGGTAGCGAAGCCGAAGGCTACCCGTGGGAGGAGGTTTAGCACAGTCACTGGCTCCTGCGCCTAGCTCCTTTGTAGCCCTGTTGCCTCGCGGGTGCAAGGCCCGCACGTTTCGTAGCGCCTTCCTCCGCTCCTTAGCTCCTTCCTGCAAGACGGACCTAGCGCAAGCACTGGCTCCTCACCTAGCTCCTGTGTTCCCTGGGTGGCCAGAAGAGGGGTCGCCCGGCCCCGGTTTCCTAGCGCCTGCCTTCGCTCCTTGCTCCTCCTGCAAGACACTAGCGGAACACGAAAACACAACACAGGCAACAGCAAGTGACATGTAGCAAGCCCACCACTCTCTTCTTTCTCCCCCCCCCCCCCCCCCCCCCCCCCCCCCCCCCCCCCCCCCCCCCCCCCCCCCCCCCCCCCCGAGCACACCCCCTTCAAAAACTAGCGGCGTTTCGCAAGGGAGGGAAGAGAGAGAGAGAGAGGGAGACAGAGGGGAAAGGAAAAGAGGGTGCCGACCTAGCAGCCTTTCTAGCCTCAGTGCGAGTGCGAGTTCGGCGGCTTAGCACGCCCTGCGCTCAAGGATGACTGCTAGCGGACCCCGGTGCGTGATCCTCTGGGGCCTCGTCATCTTCCGAGTTAGCGAGCGATCCTTCGCTAGCGTCCCCTTCGGAGATAGCCCCCTGGTTCGGCCAGCATAGCTTGCACACATGTGTGTACTCGTGCGGCTCCGGAACCGAATCAAAAACCCTAGCGTTGCGGAAAGCACGCCGCTTCCCCATCCAGCAACCTGTAGCGCCCGCTTTGTGCAGGCGGAAAATGGCGCCTGGGACCTCTACGATTACATAGCTGCCCTGGCTGCGGTCGGGAACCCTGGCCTGCTTCTTAGCGGGCCGTTCCACGACCTCTGCAGAGGCCTCGGAGCTACTCCCGGCCACTAGCGGTTCCGCGGGCTCGTCCGGTCCCTCGGGAACCTCTAGCTCTTCGGCCTCGGTCGGGACTCCTAGCAGGCCCTCCATCCAGATCTTCCGCAGCCTCGCCGCCATTTGGATGGCCTGGCTGTGGGTTAGCTTGGCCCTCTCTTCCAGCCAGGGCTCGAGGTCCGCGGCGATTTCCCGCTCGTCGAGCGCCTCGTAGCGGTCGTCCCCCCTAGCTGTCTTAGCGAAGAGAGCTTGGAGACGGGACACCCTACCCGCATAGGATCTAGCGTACACGTCGGACCCCTCGGGTCAACGCCCTAGCAGATCCTTGTCTTGCGGGGGGATCTCCTTTAGCGCCAAACCTGTTGGTAGCACCGAACGCTCACTGTGCTCCGTCCAATAGCCCTGGACCTCCCGTGGGTAGCCCATGATAGCCAGCAGCCCCGCGGTTGCCACCATAGCGTCCGCATAGGTAGCCATCTTCTTTTCCAGCTGCCCCGCCCGGCCCAGCCGCGGCATGAGGTAATCCCGGGCGTAGTTAGCGTGGGCCTTGAGGAGATCGAAGCCGGTCACCAGCCAGCTCTTAGCGACCAGAAAGGCGTGCTCGGACACCACGACCGGTAGCTCCTTGACCCTTCTCGTAGCGCCGGAAGTCTTGGTCTTCCGGAGGATGGTGGTGAGTCGCCCCTCCACCATCACTAGCTCGGCCGGCAGGATAGCCTGAAGGTCCGACCATCTTAGCGTGGCCCAGACCTTGACCAACTTAGCCCAGGCCCAGATCCGCCAGCCTGCGGCCAGGGCGGGGTTGATGACCACGAGCTCTAGCTGCACCAGCATGTAGACGGGATAGCGGGGCGCTCTCTTGATCAGGGGGGCCCCCTCCGCTAGCTGCTCCACAATGCTGTCCTTAGCGGCCCAGACCAGGCGACCAAAGGTGGTCCTTAGCTCCACCGGGAAATCGGCCACCTTCTCCATCCAGGAGATAGCCTTGAGAATAGCTTCTGGGACCGAACGGCCGCAGGGTTCATCACTCCTAGCGAGGAGGTAATCCACCAGGTCCGCGGCGGTGACCGGGGGCGGCCTGAGCTTAGCTGCGTGGAGCCATTGGCGCCACTGCCTGTAGTAGCTCAGGTAGCGCTTCAGAGTCGACGCCCGGGTCTTCCCCGGAAGCAAGATAGCTGCCCTCGCGGGGTCCAGACTCCCGTGCAGCTTAGCGAGAACCGGGGCATGTATCTCTAGCAGCTCTTCACGGAGCTTCCTTGCCCAAACCTCTAGCAGTCGCTCCTCTCTAGCCGCACTGATCGTGCTGGGCTCACCGGCCATGTGCAGACACTCTAGCAAACAGACAAGCTTCGTTCTGTTTAGCTTCAGAGGAAAACCCCTTCGACGTTTTCTAGCGAAACACCTTCGATGTTTCCCAAAGGGATACTGGCGCTAGCATACACTGTCGTACCTCGTCCCTCGGCACGAGTGCGAAATCTGCACCCTGTGACCTTTGAAAGAATTTTTGGCTGCCAACCCAGCTCTGACCTTGCGCTGATCGTAGCAGCTCGTGTAGCTGCCTGAGCACCGGGCTCTGTTTTGTAGTCTCAGTGTAGAGTCGTGTCCCTTTTGGGGTCTTGGGACCCTGGAAGCTCTGGATCTTGGGTTGTTTGGGGCTTGGGTTTAGGGGTTAGTGGTTAGGCTTTCGGGCTTTCTTGGGCCATTCCAAGGTTGAGTTCTTTGCCAGGCTCAACCCCGGAAGCTGCACGTTTGGGAGCTCGAAGTTAGGGAAGCCTGCAGTATCAACACAACAACGCCTGGAAGGCTACTGAACCCTGACTCAAAAACCGTGGGCCAATGCCAATGCCTCCAGGGCTCTACAGCGGTAGGTGCGGTGCAAATCACAGGATTTCTGCTCGAAAGTCGCTTGCTTCTTGTCGCAGTCGATCTTCTTGTCCTTAGGCACGATCCCCGCAGGTTTGTCTAGGGCTCTGGATTCGGCGGTTTCGGCCTTCGGGTCTTCATCGCTGCTCAGAACGGCGGTCGTAAGGCGGTTTCGGATACTGAACACAAAAAACCCTCCAAGATGAAGCCATCTTGCAACAAGAAAAATATGCAACTCAACACTATGATAACCAAACTGTAGACCCAGATCATGGACCTCCAGCTCACGCGCGCGCTCTGAGCTTGCACGTCTAAGCTCCTGGATGACACCTAACCACTTCGCCCAATGCTAGAACTAAGCCCTCCATGCTTTCCACAAACCCCGGTGCCACTCTGCAATCAGGACAGGCACAGTGATTGATCTTACTCTTCGTTACTCGTGTACATTGGACCGTTCAACTCTTGGCACTTTTGCATTTTGGAAAGTCAAGGAGTGTGTCCAAACTCAACATCCCGGTGGATTAAAGAACACATGTTTGAATGTCAGGTAGCTAGAACGATCTCCAAGAGGATTGCCTGTCTAGACTGACGCTTGAGTACAGCTCATACCATCAGCAGAGGGGCGTAGTACGTACAAACCTTCTCGAAGCACAACGGATCGCCCGGGAACGGAGTAGCAAGGGCGGTGTCGCACTTGTCCTTCCACTCCTGACACATCTTAACGGCACCCTCGGAGAAAAAAAAAATTGGACCCTCATCCCAGACAACGGCTATCCTTCAGCGTCTCGTGCTTCTTGGTGAAGTGTTCCTCCATTGCAGTCAAGTAGTTGCCGATGGTTGGAACCTGAGACTTTGCTGAGGAGGTAACGATTTGGGGCTTCGGGTTCAGGAATCTCAAGACCCGAGCCCTGAACCGGCTGAACCTCCAAACCCTTGACTCAAGCCCCAAACAAACCCAAAGCATCCCAAAGCCCTGAAACTTTCTTGGGGCCCACACCGCGGTGCCCTCGGCCATCACACAGGTGGTCGTCGGGTTCGGGAAGACCTCGGAGACTGAGTATGGGAAGCTTCGAAGAGTCTCATAATTGGAATGTAGAGTTCACCTGGGGAAACAACACATGCATCTCCTGGACGGCATGCTTTCGGCGTTCGGCGTCTTGAGCTGCTGAGAAGGCCAGAGCTATACACGGTAATTAGGGCTTTAGGATGTCGGCTTAAGTTTCGACATCTGGTTTCGGGGTGAATGGAATCTGGATGCCCATCCTGAATAGTATCAGCAGCAGGATAGGTTGGTTGTAATCTTCGTCCGTTCAGGTTGCAGTACTGGTGCTCCAAGACTGAGAGTTAAGGCTAAGGTCACAAGCAAGCCGGGCCACATTGATGCTCTTGTACTGATCGCAGATAGCCTTCTTCTCGTTCTCGAAGATCTCCCCTTTGCAAAGCTATGCGCTCATCACAGGCATCAAGCTGCAAGCTCAGCTGCCTTTATCCGGTTACCATGGAAACTCCCCGTCAAAATCCTTGGAAAAAATCCGCAGAAGGTCCAAGGAACCCCACAAGCCTGTCCGTACGATAGGGGTGGGACAGACAAACCTAGGCGAACATGCCATACGACACCTTTAATCAGACGGCACCTCCCAAAAGCCAAAACCTTCAACAACCCCAAGCGAATAGTCTCAGAACACGAACGAAATGGAAAGGGCCAGGTGCTCTCGGTGATGCACGTCTGCTTGTAGGTAGACCACATGGTGTCCTCGAGCTTAGGATTACGGCTTTCGAGCTGTAGGTTCTTGGGATAGTTTCGAGCTTCGGGATTTTTCAGATGAGGAGCCTTGAAGTTGGACCCTGAAAGCTGGGCGCATTCTGTACTATAGAGAAGGGCGTGGCCAGGCTAAGGCAGGATTCTGGGATTATTTATTCTCCAAAATATTTCCAGTTTTACATTCAATTTTATTTCCAGCCTTGGGTCTATTTCCAAATAACTTTCCAATAACGATTCAATTTTGTTTCCGGCTTCACGTCAAATTTATTTTCAATTTTGTTTCCAGTTTCTGCGGTTCGCTCACTAATTTTGTAGACAGTGTACTACTGCTGTAGACGTAGTCAAACAAGAGCCACAAACTCAACGTTGATGAGATGATGGTGACGGGAATCAGAACAGTATCGTTTGGCCAGAACAACAAAAAGACCAACAATATGCATATTATCACACCGGGAGTATGAACAGAAGCAACAAAGCAATGAACCCAAATTGGACGTTGCGCGAGTGGATTCTACGCATGGCGGGCGTAATACCTTACTCACTAGGTGTGAGACTGACCTCGTGACTTTGACCTTGATTGATTGAGATCAAAATGCTCCTCCAAAACAGCCGTCAAATGAGACCATATTCCCGTCCCCACCAAGCCGGGTTAACCTTCTCTGGCTGCCCCGAAAAGACGGACCAGCAGCAACAACAACAACCACCACAAACACAACCACAACCACAACCACCAGCACCACCACCACCACCAGCACCACCACCCCCCACCACCAGCAGCACGACGACGACGTCAAGAAACGAGGGCAACGACCACCGTCATAATCATCGGTCAGTCATAGCAAGAACGGTGGCATTAGTGTCCTGGGTCGTTCTGCATTCTGTGTGACCTTTGTCGAGCTCGGCGAGCGTATCTACAAAGTCCGTGTCGTTGGGATGCGGGCACGTGCCTTGGCACGTCGCATTGAAGGTTGAGGGCGCAAGGGTTCAGGACCCGTCTTCCTTGTGTCCTGAACTCTCCTGAAACTCAGCTGATGCTCCTTCGTGGTTGCTGTCCTATCTCCTGAGACCGCGTGACCGTGGCATTAGTCCCAAGACTTTATCAGAGACTCGACTAAACCGTGCAGGCGAGGCGGCTAAGGTTGGCCCAAGCCGAATCCAGGTCCAGCTGTGTCTGATTCTGCCTTGACAGGTTTAGGGTTTTAGGGCCCCAAAACCACAAAGCGCAGCCCCGGACGAGTCGACTCGGGTAAATGGATGCCTTGATGTAGGGGATCATTGAGGAGGGTGCAGGTTTCGGGAAGAGGCCCCGACTGTTCCCTAGACTGACAAACCTCGGCGCTCACAGCCAGTGTTTCTGCAGCTACTACACCCTAAAGCCTGAATCTTTGGCCGAAATAACTGGAGTAGGGCTTGCCAAAATCGATCATCCTAAAGATCTTCGGATTCGGACTTCGTTGGCTCTGGGGGTGCCTGGGAGCCCGAAGGCCCTCAGTTCCAGGGGTCGGGGGGTGGTCAGGTTTGGCAGCGTGGGCTTCGGGACTCTGGGGTAAACGGTTTAGGGTTCTGTGGTGCAGGGCCATGTAGGATGTAGAGCTTATGGCTGATGCTCGGGAGCGCAAGTTTGACATGCCTCCTGGAAGCCTGCAACGAAGACTAAAGAGAAGCCGAAATCCGAAAAGCCCCAAGCCCCAAACCTCAAGGTGCGGCGCCCTAAACCCTGAAAACTCTCCTCAAGTTGTAAGGAAAACCAAAAGTGAGGTAACCTTATTTTCGACCCTGCGAGGCCTTGTGACTATGTTGGTCTTCATGGTCTTGTCGATCAGGCCCTGGATCTGGTCCAGGAAGCCCGTCCTAAACGGAACGCCGGCCGTTCGGCGGGGCTCGGGGCTTTGGGCTCTTGGGTTTGGGGTTTCGGCTTGGGGCTTGCGTCGTATGTGTCTTATATGAGGCCTGAAGAAATAACTGAAGATTTCAAGCTGGTGTTCTGAAGCTGTTACTCGCCGGCGTACGCCGGCCACCACCCTGTTTAGCAGCGGTGGGTCTTCCGACAGCATCAGCCTGAGAAGCACTGCTGGTTTGTCATCGCTGTGGTGGAAAACTTAAAGATATTGGTAAAGCATGGTAATGCCCTTGCTGTTGCTATTTCCTGGGCTGTGTTTCTTGCTGAAGCTTAAGTTGGGCGGGAAGGCGTTGAGGGTTTTTCGAGTCTGAGACCCTCAAGGCAACCACGCGAAGGAAAAGGCGCCTGTGCAACTTGGGACCCGGCAGATTGCTCCCACCCTCACCGTGCTTGGATTGTCTCAGCTTCGCCATGTTTAGGACGGAGGCCTCAGGGTCTCAAGTCCGGTGTCTGACAGAGTGAAACGTGGAGCAGGACCTCGTCCTACAAGTCAGGGCTACAGCATGCTACAGTCCTCATGCTGGGACTTAGTACAGGAACACTGCCCAGTCGGGCTATTGACACCGCATTCAGAGCTTCGAAGTATCGGCACCTCGATGTTGTTCAGGGTCGCCCTCTCTGGCATCATGAGCTTCATCTGCATGGACATCTTCTCCTGCAGCACTACGGTACACCAAGCATTCCGCACTGCAAGCCCAAGGCCAGCTTTAAGCCGCATTATCGGAGGCATGCCCTCTGCAAAAGAACTTCAGAGCAGAGTTCTCAGAGTTCCGACGGAAGGCATCTTTTGAAGGAGCACGGTCACGAAACTTCCACTGCGAACCGACGGACAAGAAGCAGTTACAAACCCGAACCCAAGGTATCACGAAAAGACTCCGGTGCCAGCAAATTCTGTGAAAAGCCCCAGGAAAAATGCACATGTCACCGGAAACGAGTCCACGGCCGTAGGGCTTTCGGTCCTCGATGAAGGTCATCTTACTCCGTCGTAAAGAGGCGGCATCTACACAGCACGGGAAAAAAGCCAGCACCCAAAGTGCCGACTGCTGCATTGTAACCATGTCCTCGGGCGGTTTAGCGCTTCAGGTTTTCCAATGTCGTTTCATCCTGAACCCCAAGACAAGTGACGCGGGCTCCCGGGGTTCCGATTGTAGTTTATGGGTGGTCTCTTTGGACATGGGCTAGGGGCTTCCCAAGAACACTCAGCGGAACGTCCACTAGAACATTTGCGAGGTCGCTCGGCCTCTCATGGTTCAAAAAATCCATGAGCTTTTCGGTTGGGAGGCCAAGCAGGTTCCCGAGATGGTCATTGTACCCTCTGGTCTCAATTTATGAGGTTTAGGTTCCGGGGGTTGTGGGTGGTCTATTCAGTTTGATAAGGTCTAGGCTCCAGACGCCTTATGATAACAAGATGTCATGTACTGTAGATCCCCCATTGGACTGAGCCCGCGGCGGAGAAAAACGTGCGCCCACCCAAAGGCCACTCGGCACGTCTTCTCGTCTGTGAGCCGAGTTGCCGTGACACAAAATATCAGCGCTTGGTGGCTCTGAAGAGTCGATTGTGTAGGAGACCCACGTAAGTTACTGTAAGGTCTTCGGGGGTGGAGCATTTACTTGCGGAAGATCTGAAACATACGGAAACCCTGAGCTCTAACACCCGAATCCTGACAAGTTCAGTGCGAAACGGAAGCCCAGAGACCTCTCCACCTTCTCTACAGGAGGCCTCTCAGGCAAGCTAGAACAGGCTCAAACCGACCCGGCAGTATGAGACGTTTTCTTTCGGTGCAGCTGTCGGCCCTCAGGTTCATCAAGCTGCCGAGGCGCCTCGGAATGAGGACTCTTCAGAGCCGCTTTGGGGGTTTATGAACCTCAAACTCGAGGATTGCTGAGTTTCGGGGCTTGAAGGCTGAAGGAATCAGAGCCGCGCTCTACCCTTTGCGAGCAAAGTGTCTGGCAAAGTTGGCGACGGTGATCAGCTTGTGCTTCTCAGCTGATGGCCGCGGCTGCTCCAAGAAATTGCGTAGACCTGGTGATCCTGATGGCGGCTACGCCATCATCGTCCTTTAGCGACGAACCAGCACGCATCAATGGTGCAGGAGCTGTAACCGCTGCAGCTAGAAAGAGGTCAAAGCTGAAGATGCAGTTGAAGTGGAGACTTGTCGCCGTCGCGAAGCTACACATCTCCCAGCCGCCATTGCAGAAGCCACGCGGAGGTGCTTGTCAGGGAAACCTCCTTGACACTCGATGATTTCAGACCGCTCCGGAATCTTCGGCCGCGAAGGTGGCGACCAGGGAGCCGAGAGCACGGACGCCGGCGTCGGGGTGCCCGGCCAGCGCCCAGTCGGGCAGTGCCGACGCATCGGCCACCCAAAGGCCCCGCACCCCACGCACCCCGAGCCGGGCGTCCAGCACCTTCCCAACACGGCAAGTTCCCATCGGGTGCTGCCAGGAACCCAGAAATTGAGCGCAATGCCGTCCGGCGACATCGTCCTTCATAAGGTCTTCGTAGGAAGGCTCGAAGGACAACTCTGGCCAGGCTTTCTGCAGTACGCCGTAAAGTTCGCGGAGCCCTCGGAGGAGGGATGCCACGTCCGAGGCATTGCCTGCAAAGGGATCCAAAAGCACTCCGGGAGGCTCGGACGGGTCCATGGAGCGGGCCAGCACGCGGCCGGCATCGCTTCGGCTCCGGAGTAAAATCAGAAAGCTTTTCAGCTCCAGCTGGGGGCCTTCGCTTTTGGTGCAATGCGGAAGCATCTGGAGCTCCAGCCTGGGCCGGCTGGAGCCGCTGGAGCGGCCTGCAGGGCCTGCAGGGCCTGGGTGCTTTAAGCGGGAGTAGAAGGCGTAGAGGCTCCCGCCGCGGTGCGGCTCAGGCTCCATGCAAGGCAGTGGCGTTCTTACTCGGAAAGCAAGGTACTGGTGATCCTGGAGGTGACCGCCCACCGCCGGGCTCTCCACTTCTAGCTTGATCCCCAAGCGTTGTGCATCCTCGCGGCTGCCGATCCCCGAACGCTGAAGGAGAGCCGGGGTCTGCAAGGCGCCGGCGCTCACAACGACGCCACGCCGGCAGCGAACCAACGCCTCGCGGCCGCTCGCGCCCCCGCTGCCAACCAGGACTCCGCGCGCTCGGCCGCCTTCCAAAAGCACCCGCACCGCGTGCGCCTGCGACACGACTCGGACTCGGGCTCCCTCTCCTCCCTCTCCTGGCTGAGACTTCTCGGCACCAAGGGCGCAGTGGTAGGACGACGGCCCAAGAGACGTGTGCCGGCAGCGAGCAATCCGCTGGGTGGGGCCAACAGATGTGCCGTGCCTGGGCATTTGAACAACCCCTACCCGCCAATTTGGATATGCTTGGACACTGCATACAGTGCCCTCAAACCAATTCGGAGCCTCGAGGCTTCAACTAGACCTGGCATTTGGGCGCTTCTGAGGGTTATATGAGCTGAGGCTTCAAACCAGCCTCAACTTTCAGAACTTCAATGGGTCCCTAACCCAACCCTCGGAGGCACCCACGTAGCTTTGCAAGAAGTGAGGCGCGCAGCTTCGGCCAAGTCTTGCTCAACTGCGGAATGAGTTCACTCCCCCATGAACCAAGCGCAGCTCAAACGACGAAATGTCTAAGCTGAGAAGGTGCCGGACCTCCAGACTTCTTAACCTACCTTGACAAGCACCCTTCGCACGTGAAGTATAGAAGAACGAGATTTCGACAGCCGAAGGCGCCACGACATCGAGGCATTCTGGCGGAAGGGAACGCCGGCCTCTGCGAGGGCATCCAGGATGGCTGCCTGGTCGCGCTCCGTGGTTTTCCCGGGCTGCTGCATCGACGTCCCCAGTGCATTATCATTGTCATGAAGGGCATCCATAGCGCCAAACCCCCAAAATGGCCTTGGGGTTTGCGGTCGTGGCACTTCCCTTCAAAATCAGAGCTTGAAAGGTCCGAAACTTCCCGAAACTCCAAACCTACGTCCCAGACCCAACACACAAACCCAACCCCGATTCCCAACATCGAACCTCCAAAGCCTAAACCAAAGAAATCCCCCAAGCCCTGGCCTGCCATGGAGACCTCTCACCGTCCAAATCCTCGGTGTGCATCTCCAGATCCGACTCCACATCTTCGTAAGCCTTCGAAACCACCTGGCATTCAACATTCAGCGTTCAGAGGGTTTCGATGCTGTTTCGGGCTAGAGTACTGCCTGAGAGCTGAGGGTTTCGGAATCGAATTCTCACGACATTCATCAGGGTTGAACGCTACCTCAAGATCGAAGGGGAGGTAGGTCCGCGTGTAGTAGCGGCCATTCACGGAGGAGGTGCCGCCAAGGCCGCGGCCATGGATGATCTGCGTTGCTCGGGTCACCTTCCCCAAGCCCCACTCGATATCGTTCACGTACCTTAGCACTTCGATAATCTAAGGTTTGCGTGTAAGGATTTGGATTTGTCTTGGGCCCTTCCCGCCTCCGTTGATCGCAAGAAGATTTTGAGACGACGTTTGCCGATTTATGGTATAGGGTTTTGCAGCTTTGACCCTGAATCCTTGGCCCGTAAATGCTTCATTTCTTTTGGCAGTAAACCCTTCAAGTAAACGTCGTCAGTTCATCCCGTTTTGGGCTTCAGGGTAGAACTGATGTTTTGCGCTGCGGCTATTTTCGCTAAGGCGAAGCCCACGACGACGACCACTCCTTCTATTGCTACCACAACTACCACGACGACGACGACAGCTTCGCCACCACCACCACCACCACCACCACCACCACCACCACCACCACCACCACCACCACCACCACCTTGTCACTGCTGGCTCCTGCACAATCAATACGGCTGCACCACCGTTGAGCTACAATAATTGAGAATTCTCACTGTTCTGCTGCTTTGACTACAACACTCTTCCGGCTGTGGTGATGATTGCTACGTTGGCACGGTCAAGATCACTACAACATGATTCTTCCTTGCACACCTTGATTGTGACTGTTGTTACTGCGATGACACAACATTGGTTACAGTTTTCTTTTTCTGGTGCAACTTTCTGGTTCCATGGCCATGCCTCCTTTCCTTCCACGCCTCCTTTTCTCAATCTGTCTGTTTCGTGACTGACGCGACTGTCATGACCGCTGCTACGAGTACAGCGATTACTGCCACTACATGAGCTATAAGCCGATTGGAGCTGCTGCGGATACTGCACGTTTCTTGCCGACACCAACATCAACATCATCCTCAATATGATCATCATGGCCTTGGAACTGTCGTTTGTCAGCTGCTTAATCCTTTAGCATACCGATGAGTGCCGAAGTTGCCAGAGATCGGCTTGCTCCGGTGCAGACGGGTTGGGGTTGGAGTCCACCCCGCCAGCATACCCTTGGAGAACTGGTTCTTTTGGTTGGTTCTGAGTTCCAGGCCTTGGGGCAGATATGGTCTCGATGACCACATAAGAAAACGCATGGTACCCATGCCACGGAAAACTGATAAACCAAAAAAGAAGAACGATCGGCAAACAATGACGGCAACCGCTTTCAGGACTGGCGATTATGCTGAGAGCAGTAAGCTTGGAAAAGACAGCAGCTATCACCATCATTACAGTAATTGTCTCCACGTAACGATGCCACCAGAGCAGTCTGCCACACTCGCAGCAAGTAGCACCAAAAGCAGCAAACAGACTCAGACCAGCGATCATAATTGGAGACCATATCACCGTCTCGATGCCAAGACTTGGAGTCTACCGTCGCGCAACGACGATGCATCATGCACATGCATGAAGTCTAGGAAAAGCGGCTCATGAATCTCGAAGACTTGCACCCAGACAACCTGACCACCCTCAAGTCAAAAGTCCGAAACATTGAGACTCTTGGACCCTGAAACCCCCAGCCCTGCTTGCTGACTTTGTCAAGTCAAGCCTCCCATTCCACCAGACTCGAGCAAAGCCACCGAGAAACCGCGACGGGCCAGCCGTGAGGCGGCCACACTGCCGGCCGAGCCTGCGCCCACCTTGTCATGTTATCTGGATGGTTGGGTTCTCTTGTCCTGTTTCGGGGTCAGTGAAGTTTGGGGTGTAGGTTCGGCGGACAGGATCTGGTCGGAAGGCCGATATACACGGCTCCTCAGGCTATCGTTTGCAGTCCCAGAGTAAAGAAACAACAGTGCCAAACAAAAGCCTGGTGCGACGATAAAGTCGACCTCCTCCGGCAGCCAGGGTATTGCAAGTGGCAACGTCAGCTTCAGGATCGTAGGCGGCAAGCAACAGTCGAGGAACGCAAATCCTGTTCCCCAACCTTGGTCATGACAAACGACTTGGAGATGCAGCTTGAACCGAAGCCGTCCTGGCAAAGCCAATCACAGGTGTGGCTAGAACAGAACTTAGCACAGACGTGTTGAAGGAATACCCGAATTCACGAAACCCGTCCACTCGCGGATGCAACGATCCTTGTTGAAAGCAGGTTCTAAAGCGTCTGTCGTCAACAAAAACCCAAACGCCCAGGGGGCCACGCGGCTTTCATAAGTTGCCCCCCAGCATGTAGCATAGCATCTGAAAGGCGCATCATACTTACACGAAATGTAGGCCATCATCGCTAGGTCTTAAGGCTCCCATACCCTGAAAGACCGAACCTAAACTCCAAGACGCCTTAAGTCTTCTCTGTGTCCACGAAACGTTCAATTCCTGGTAGTGTACAGGTTCCGAAGGAATGAACACTGCAGCTTGAAACCGAATGCCAAGCCAAGATGCAGCTTGCAAGGCCTTCCGGTCCGAAGGAAGGATGGCAGCAGGGATAGGGCTGAAAGTGCTCGTGCCAGCACCTGGCTGCTTTATCAAGGCACTCAAACCACCAGATTGAAACACAAAAGCCCTGGTCGGGGAACCGCAAGTGTCCTTAGTGCAGGGTCTCGAAAGTAGGGGTCCCTGTTTCGGGTCCTGCCTGTAAGGAAACTACTATATCAGTCATATAAGAGTGCCCCTACATTCTGAAGCCCATCTCTGCATCAAAGACAACAGTGCCCTTGTGTTGACTGATCAGCCCTCCTTGCATCCCAAAGAGCTGCTGGCGCAAAACACCCATGTGGAGCTGATCAACAGCGCCGAAGAGGTCCAGCCGAGCGTGAGAAGGCGGGACCGGGCCGCCAAACTCCTGCAGTGCTTGAGCCGGGCTCTCCATGCATGTTGGGCCTGGGGAGTTACCAACCTTGGTCCAGGGTTTCAGTTTCTTGTCTGTGCCGCCAGCGTCTTTGCTTGAGGTGACCAAAAAAACGAGCCCAATGCTGCAATTTTCCTTTTTGGGGGTCTAGTGTTGCCGTGAGAAAGGCCCAAGTCGTTGCTTTGTTGCATGTCATCTCGCACTCTAACGTAAAAAAAATTCGAGTTCGGCTTGGGTTTCAAGCTTACCTACCACTTAGTTGATTGGGATCCTCCAAAGACACGCCAGGAACGGTAATGAACCTCGGATCCGGCTGGATCCTCCGCTGCAGCCAGTCTGGCTGGGAAGATAAGATCTCAGAAGCTCTCTGCGACAGCCTCTTTTCGCAACAGTTCCTTACGTCTCCAAGGGCTCAACAAGTCAAAGGTAAAGCTTTCAAGATTGTTCTCAACTGCACGAAACCGACATCTCCAAATCGTTCGCAATGGAAGCAAGCGTCAAATTCTCAAGCATGTGCCGCTCACTTCGAGCCGATGGAATCACCGAAACCCCTTGGCTGGTGGCCCAGTTCAGAAGCAGCTGGGCCACGGTCAAACCTTGCAGCTTTGGATCAGGTTTCAGCTCGTGTGGCTTTGGGGCTTTTGCAAGGATAAGGGCGAATCCTACAACCCACATCCCGCAAAACACACTCATTTGCACTGATTCGGCCACTATGTTCGATTGAAGAACCAACTGCTGCACCTTTTTATGACACCTCGCATTGCTGGATGGGCCCACATCAGTAAATCAACAGTGGCTGTGGCATTTGGGAGAGCAAACCGCGGCGGAAATGCGTGTCGCTCCAGCTCCATTTTTGGTTTGGTTGAACACCCGCTGCTCGAAGACCGGACGACATGCACTACACCAATGAACATCAGTGTCAAACACAATCGCAAAAACCACTATAACATTGTCATCACAACCACCACCACCACCACCACCACCACCACCACTACCACCACCAACAACAACAACAGCAACAGCAACAGAAACAGCAACAGCAACAGCAACAGCAACAGCAACAGCAACAACCAACAATAACCACCAACAACAACCAACAACAACAACCAACAACAACCAACAAACCATTCGAATATAATCGGAGGAAATACATACATGACTGCCAGTTTTGCAACCGTCCAACCCAACAGCTTTAGCAGACCTTACTCAGCAGTGGAAAAGGCTAGAGCCACAAGCACGTATGCCATCATCACCCTCAACAAAGCTGCTTGTCCTTGCTTCATGTTCTCGGCCACAAGCGAAGGCTATCGGAGCGGGTGATGTTCGCAGCTACTTCCACTTGCATGCGCCAGTCAACTAGCATGGCATCGACGCGAGGGACATCACCCTCACAAAAGTTATCAAACACTCGTTGACATTACCGAGATTGCGAATTAACTGCATTCTTCGAAAATCAAGATGGATGAGGGTGGAGGGCGGGGGTAGGAGGGTGGGCAGGGCCGACACACATCCCACAGCATCCGGTGGGGCGAAGAGAAGGGGCACCATCCTCGGGGGAACCGTCACTTGCTTGGGAAGAGCAAAGGCGGGCGTTTTCAGCTTCCAATCGCTGTACCTTCTGAAGTTCTGAAGCGTTTGCTGCCGGGAGTCGACAAGGGTCCGGGACTTCAGAAGATATCGAAAATCCACAGCCACTGTATTTTGCACATGCATTCGGTATTGCCAATTGTAAATGTCCTGTCACTCACGCTCAGGAAAAGAATCAGTAGAATTGCAGAACTTGCTGGAGATCCACCCCATGTTGTCGGCTTGTCAACTCTCTGCATCTCGGCCTTGTTTCGGAGGACTTCCGCAAAGACAGGTTTCCCATAAGCCTGCAAACGGGTGGGGCCTGAAACCAATGCCTCTCGGGCGAATGCTGTGCTGCTCACGAATCTCGGCAATGCTAGATTGCACCACAAGCCAGAATCAACAAGCACTGCATCAGGTCGCCATGTGGACGGAAGCTTCCAAGCACTTTCCCATGTCAAACCTCAAGATCGATGTGCAAGACATCCTTGTTCATCACGACGACGGGAGCGAGAACGTTGACGAGGTGGGGTCGGGAACAGTGGCAGCGGGAATGGTCTCTGCGAAAACGTCGAAAGTGGCGGTGTGTGGGGGGGGGGGGGGGGGGGTGTGCGGCTTAAATGGGGTATTATCGCCAGCTGAAACTGTGGGTTTTCACGCCTATAGTATTTAATATAGACAGGCAGATGGCGATTATATCCTGGGTCTGTTCGGTGGATGGTCCCGGGCCCGAATTAAATAATTTAAATAATTTAAATAATTTAAATAATTTAAATCCTGGGGAGGGGGTCTGGGGGGGGTTCCGGGGCCCCGGGACCCTCCCCCAGGATTTAAATTATTTAAATTATTTAAATTATTTAAATTATTTAAATTATTTAATTGGGGCCGGGAATTAAATAATTTAAATAATTTAAATAATTTAAACAATTTAAATAATTTAAATAATTTAAATCCTGGGGAGGGGATCTGGGGGGGGTTCCGGGGCCCCGGGACCCTCCCCCAGGATTTAAATTATTTAAATTATTTAAATTATTTAAATTATTTAATTGGGGCCGGGAATTAAATAATTTAAATAATTTAAATCCGGGCATCTCCAGTTTCAATAAGAACTGCGGCTGCCTCTTCGTCGACAAGAAGAGAGAGGAGCTCCTTGTCGTCCCCTCTTCCTCTTCAAGGGATAGAAGAGGGATAGCTTTCAAGAAGTGAGGACAGAGCTCGCTCAATCTTCAAAAGAAAAGTCTGATCCTCCCCTCACCCTTCAACAAGACATGAGCAGCCCTCTACCCCATGCTCTGAATTAGCTTCCAAAAAGACAAATCCTCTGCCTCATCCTCGACAAGAAGAGACTGAGAGCGTCCTCCAAACTAATGGTACAAAAGAAAGCGCCATCTCAACAAAGCAAACAGGCCGCTCTAATTTCATGAGAAAGAAGAGGGCACCGTTTACCCTTCGGCAAGAAGAGACCTCCTTTCTTTCCTGATATGGGGAGGGGGTCCTGATTGTTTCCGTCGCCGTTTTAAAGATGGAAGAGAGCATACACTCAAGAAGAAAGGGTGGAGCTCCCCCCAACTCAAGAAGAAAGGGTGGAGCTCCCCCCAATTTTCAAATAGAGACATCTGGTCGTCCCTCAGCATTTAAAAGGAAAAGACCTCATGCTCCAAAACACAAGAAGGCAGTCCCCAGGTGATTTGTGGCAGCAGAAGAGAGCATCCTTCTTACCTCTTGGTATGTCGCCTTTTCGTCTTAAGAAGACTGAAGAGACCTCGCTCCTAGCAAGAAAGGACAGAGCTCCCCTAGCTTCCAAAAAGAAAGATTTTCTACCTCATCCTCCACAAGAAATCACTGAGAGCTTCCTCCCATGTAATGAGACGCAAGAGAGCTTCATCTCAGCCCAGCAGACAGGCCCCTCCAACTTCACGAGAATTCAAAGGTCTCCGTTTACCCATCGGCCGGAAAGAAGATAACTCCTTTCTCTCTTCATAAGGGGTTGGATCTTGAGCATTTCTTTTACCTTTTCAAAAGATGGAGAACAGCATACGCACAAGAAGAAGAAACCTCCTTTCTCTCTTGGCAGTGGAAAGAGATCCTGATTACTTCCCTTACCTTTTCAAAAGATGGAAAAGGGCAACGCACAAGAAGAAGAAACCACCTTTCTCTCTTGGCAGTGGAAAGAGATCCTGTAATTTTCTTGACGCTCAAGAAGAAACGGTAGGGATTCCCCCAACCCTCAACGAAAACACGGAGAGAGTCCCTCCAAGTCATTCAGCTGATTTCTAGCAGCGAGCCCCTCTACCTCTTGGTAGGTCTCCATCTCCTCTGAAGAGAATTGAAGGGAGCTCGCTTCTAGTCGAAGAAGACAGGGCTCAAAGCATCTCCAGTTTCAATAAGAACTGCGGCTGCCTCTTCGTCGACAAGAAGAGAGAGGAGCTCCTTGTCGTCCCCTCTTCCTCCTCAAGGGATAGAAGAGAGATAGCTCTCAAGAAGTGAGGACAGAGCTCTCTCAATCGACAAAAGAAGAGTCCGATCCTCCCCTCAGCCTTCAACAAGACATGAGCAGCCCTCTCCCACCCTCTGAATCAAGAAAGAAACCCTTCTAACTTCTCCATGTCGCCACCACTTCCTCTCCAAGGGATAGAAGAGAGATATCTCTCAAGAGGTGAGGACAGAGCGTTCTCATTCCTAGTTATTCTTGGCAAGAGCAGATTTCTCTAGAGGAGATTTCTTATACCTTTCTCAGTCGCCAGCCTTCAAAAGAAAAGACCTCATGCTCCAAAGCAAGAAAACAGTCCCCAAAGGTTGTTCGTGGCAAAAGAACAACGCATCACGAGAAAGAAGGGAGCTCCGACTGCCTCTCTGGCGATAAGAAGAAAACTTCTTTCTCTGTTCGTCAGGAGCGACAGCTCCTGAACATCTCCTCCTCGAGAAAAAAACTTGGAAGGGAGCTTACGATCAGGAAGGAAGGATAGAGCTTTTCCAAATTTCAAACTTTGACAAGAGAAAAGCCAGTCCTCCCCGTGGCCTTCAAAACGAAACGAGAAGCCCAAGCCCTCTACCTTACCCTGCTGTGAAGCAGGAAGAGAACTCACTCCAAGATATTTTGGTAAGCGACGAGAGCTTTATTTGAGCAGAGAGAGACTTTACCTCTTGGTAAGTCGCTTTTATCTTAAGAAGATTGAAGAGACTTCGCTCCTAGCAAGAGAAGCCAGGGCTCCCCTTGCTTCCAAAAAGAAAAGTCTTCTACTTCATCCTCCACAAGAAATGATTGAGAGCTTCCTCCCATGTAATGAGACGGGAGAGAGGTCCATCTCAGCACAGCAGACAGGCCCCTTCAACTTCACCAAAGACAAGAGAGCTCCATCTACCCCTGCGTCGGCAAGAAATCTTTTTCCTTGAAGTTCTGCAAAAACACAGATAAAATCACAGCTCACAAGGGTGTCGCCCCAAGATTTGTACAGACTCAGATCCCAAAAACCCAGATCGCAAGGGATATCCCCCTAAGGGTTCGTTGAAACAACAAGTTCCAAAACAATAAATCGCAAGGGGTGTTTCCCTAAAGCTTTTTATAACAAATGAATTCCAACGCCACAAATCGCAAGGGGTGTCCCCCCCAAGGTTTTGTAAGAACTCAGATCCCGAAATCACAGATCGCAAGGGGTGTCTCCCTAAGGTTTTGTGAAAACTCAGAACCGAAAACCACAGATCGCAAGTGGTGTCCCCCTAAAGGTTGTTATAACAAATAAGTTCCAAAATCACAAATCGCAAGGGGTGTCCTCCTAATCCCTGCGAGCAGAAAGCCTGTAAATACCGCGTTAAAACTACGGCCAGGGATCCCACACATCTGCGGGCAAAATCTGGCGGAAGTGATCCGCCACCGAGCAAAAAGCCTGTCAATACCGCATTAAACAAAGGGCCAGGGATTTCGCACATCTGTTGGCAAATTCTGGCGGAAGTTTAATTGGGGCCGGGAATTAAATAATTTAAATAATTTAAATCCGGGGGCCTCCCCCATATTTAAATTATTTAAATT